CAGAAGCTTTAGATACACTGTGGAATCCTGACTATAGTTCTGCTCAGTGTGGACATGATACCCATTTCCAGGTGCCTCAACCAGGCCCAGGGAGGGTCGGTGCTACATCTCAGGCCACCCAGGTGGATGTGCAGCTCTGTGGTTCCCTTTGATTCTTTACTGTCTTCTGAGCTTCCCAGGAAGTGTGGCAGACACATGCATGAGCCACAAATGGGTCATAATTACAATTGTGCCCAGACGCTGATAGCAGCTGAGTCGGGCTGGGACAACAGGAGCTCTTAGTGCCTGTCACCTCTCTCGGTGCCAGAGTGACCTGTAAACATGACCCTTCGTGTGGAGGAGGTAGGCAAGGACTGTGCTGATTACTCCGTGATCCTTCTTGACATTTTAAAAAGGCAGCACGTGGAATGAAGTGTGCCTAAGAACATAATACCTGTTGTATTCAAATCAGTCATCCCTAAAGAGGGAATGATGGGTTCCAACAACACATGTTACGAGTTAAAATGAAAACTAATTCATTATTTGAAGAGTGCCACCCAACTCGTGTCTGTAGTAAGTTCCTTTCATTGAAGGGGTGACTTTTAAAATTTGATGTAGAAACAGCATTAACTAATAAGCATTTCTTGTGAAGCCAGTGTAGAAAAATAAGATTTGGTAGTTTTAGAATGGCTAAGCAATACTCTGGTGAAATTGTAAAAATATGCAGAAATTAAGTGAATTTAAAAGCTGTGGTAAATAGTTTCATTGGAGGTCATTAATATTCCTTTCAGAAATGTAAAATACACTGAGAAAGAAGCATAGCTTTTAATGGTGAAGCACTTTAACCTATAATTCAAACATGAACATTAAAATTTTTGTGTGTGCTTAATCAAATTACATGGTACATTTTGGCACTGCTTCTCAAAAAATAATGGTAAGTTGTAACATTCCAGGGCCAGAAATGGGCCCTTTCAAGTACAAAGCTTTTCTTGGCTCCACGAAATAAAGGTTAAGTAGAACATATTTTAGAGTGCCTTAAATTCCATTGCACCTGAGATGGGAATACAGGTGAAACAAAACTGCTAACAGTGCTTTAGGGAATATGAGTTGGTACAGAAATGCTGAATATTCCCATTACCTTACTTAGATTAAATGGCTACTATAAGGCAGTTGTCTGTCAAAATTCTTTTCATTTGCTTTCTTGGTAATTCACTTTAACAGATGAGTGGTTTCATTTTTGCAGTGCATTTGGTTATGAGTGTTGAAAAATAACTGAAGTAGGTACCGCTGATTGCTCCTGAGTAACCCTATGCTCCTGTGATTTCTAGACTTCAGTGTTGTTTTTATGGATTTTTTTCCTTTTTTTATTAAAAAAAGCATTAAGCTTAGCCCTTTTGGAAACGTTTAGCTCAGTTCCTCTATTTGGCTTACATTTATGTATAATCGTAGAATCCTAGAAAAGATCTGTACCAAACCAATTACTGTTCCACCGTGACTCAAGCCTAAGAGGCTCTAGAAACACTGGTGTTTTGCAGAAATAAAATGGACATTGTTAGTGCTAGATACACTCAAAATGAGAATGAGAAAATAATTTATACGTAAAATAGAAATGCATTTGAGTAAAACCAAGTACTCAATTCTAATGCCTTAAAATTAGAACAGTAACAGATGATAGGAAAAGTCCTGTATTACAAAGCATTGCTGCTAATTATAGACATGAATTTAGAGCCCTTTCTATCAAGGCTCTAGGTTTTGACTGCACATTGATATATTTTATTTCAAGTTACATAGTACCTAAAACTGCAATGGTATTTGCCTTCCATTTTTGATTGTCAACAGCGTGTTACTTTTAGACTGCAAGAGTACGTCTTGTATTTTAAAAAGCTGCTACAAGAAATATTCTTTTATTTTTGGGTAGAGGGACTATTCCCAAAAGAATGGCTGAATAGTTTTGTCAGTGATGAGCCAAGAATTTGGGGTTAGATTTAGTGATTGATTTAATGAATAGGATTTCAAAGATAAGTTTTTTTTTGTATATTGATACCTAGGTATTCACAGAGTTAGAAATCAAAATGAATACATCTTTTCATTAAACTGTTGGTATACATGGCAACTATGAATTTGTTTAAATGAAAGATGCTTTTATACACAAAGGTGCTTTTCTGCCTAGTCTTAAATTACTACTAATTAAGCATTATATAATATAATAGGTAATTATAGAGTTTTAATGTGGATGCCAATGGATTTGCTAGTCTTTCTAAATGGGTATTGTTTTCTAATAGTCTTAAGGGGATCATTTATATAGCCATTGTGGTTCTAAAAATATCTTTAAATACCAATGGGAGCCTTTTCTGAAGCATGGTTATTATAAAATGTACTTTTATTTGAAGTGTGTCATTTTGATTATATCAATTACTTTCATGTACAGCAAAAAAAAACAATGCTGAAAAAGAATAAGGAGAGCTCTTTATAGAAAATTTTCAGAACAATATGGTAGTTAAATAGAAAAAGATATGAGTTAGGAGTATTGGGAATCTGTTCTATTCTTTATGATTTTTAGCTATTCTATTCATTAGGATTTTAGCTGGAGATGCGTTTATGTGGCCTTATTGTTTTTATTTAATATTTCTATGGCAGAAGAACAATTAGGTAAATGCATTGAATATTAAATATTGTAGTAGCTTTGGGGAACTAGCATTTCTGGGTCAAAGCCCTTAACAAAACACTGTCACATGTGAGCTGATTAATTGAACTGAATGCCAGATTGTTTTGCCACCATCCAACTAGTCACGCAGTTCATTATCTAAGGCTGTTCCAGAATAGAAGGACTGGTTAAATCAAAGCTACTGGTGTTCATTTTAATCTCAGCTACAAACGGAGTAGATCTTGATTAGAGAATCATTTCAACCTCGTTAAATTAGCTAAGTGTGTGAGCATCCCAAAGAGCCTGCCCCTGCGTGTCACATCAAGCATCGTAAGTGCTGGCTGTGTGAGGTTCTCAACACTCACCCTGTGCTTTCTCTATCTTGTTGACTCCAATCTTGTTGGCTCCAAGGGCTTTAATGTAAAACAGAGTCTAGGCTGCTCTCTGGCCCTGCTTCCTGTATCTAATATTGAATGTAAAAAAAAAAAAAAGTTCCATTTCTAACCATGGCAGAGAAGCTGAGGATTTTCATCAACTGTATTTAGTAGAGAAAAATATTACAATCTGTGAGCTTTACTGTTCAGTAGCATCCCAGAGTGACAGCATCTAAATTGTATCCCAAAATACCCCAAGGATTCAGGAGGCATTATGCCATTGTTTGATTTTAATTTAAACTGTTTAAAAACCTTAATGAAAGAAACAAAGTTTCAAATGTATATTCCAAATTTTTTATTAGGGTGACCAGTGATGAATTTTAGCTGCCAGGTTCGCAGGTGAGGGGCAGATCTTTGAATGAACTTGTCCTGCCTTTTTGTGCACAGATGTAAAACTTTCGCTACAGAGACTCTAGTAGAGCACTCCCAGGTCTTCCATGAACGCAAGCCTCTGCGTGTCCGCTTGCATTCCCACAGGTTTCTTGTATTGGACTTAACGGATGCTGAGCAAGACCTAGGCACGGTTCATTGGAGAACTTGCTGTTGCCATAAAGTAACGGGAATTTAGACCAGTGCCTGCTCACAGGTTGCTGTGTGATACAACATTACAAGTTTATTTTACATTTTAGGTGCCACTTGTCAAATTTATTTTTAAGGAAGGAATATTGTTATGTATCTAAAATTAATAAATGCCTTTAAAAAAATGCCCTTAATTCCCTTGCTGTTGTTGTTAAATGTTACCCATTTGCAACCACTTACCTGTGTGGATCAGGATTATCTTGACATTCTGCAACGTAAGCAAACCATAGAAATAAATTAACCCATGCAGCTGATATAGGACGTCATTACCTGCACCCTCTCTTATCAGAGTTTTGCATCTGTGAACATAGCCTTGTTGTTTTACATTAACTTTTAAAGTAATTGTTACTGGTTATTTCTAAAGATTCTGGAATTTTTCCAGTCTTCAATAGTTCTTTCTGTTGATATGTTTATAGCATATAGACTTTGGAGAGTATAAATGTTCTTGAGTGTACAACAAGCCCACTATTCTTATAACTTATTACTATTTCAAATATAAATATAAAAGATATGGAAATGAAATCATATAGTAAAATGAATCTCAAGTTAAGGAGATTAGATAAAGGCTATTATAGGAGAAGCTTTACTTTGTGTTCTGCATATAATCTTTTCTGTCAGTATGGAAGTTGCATTTGAGGTCAGCGTTTGCCAGATAAGCAGTTCCATATTAATATGTAAGCTGGACTTTTCGAAGAGCACTCAAGGCAGAGAGGCAGTAAAGAAAAGAACCTGTTCTTGGTGGTTAAAGAGGTAGAAGAGGAACTAGGAAGGAGCATGGACTTTGCTCTGTCTCTCTTCACAGCAATAAGAAAATCACTCACCACTTTCCCAACTTCTCACAGATACATTTGAGAGAGAGAGGTGAATGGCCTGGGAACCTGGTACGTGTCCTCTGGGTTTTATTATCCATTGCTCTTGCCCGAGACCTAGGTAAATGACTTTAGAAAGCCTTAGTTTATTAGAACACACAGGCTTCATTCCCTGTAGGCCTGCAGTGTGCACCTCGGCAATCTTATAAAATTTATTTCTAAAGGCACATGATTTATGCATTGGTTTTCCATAACATCTTTACCCACAAATATAAATGATGAGCGTTTTATTTTTCGGGGGGGAATGACAAAAGTTGTATGTTTTGAGTTTTGCAATAAAAAAAATTTCATTGCTTGAGGCATTTTGTATAAGGCATTTAAAAAAACAAACAAACCTTAACTTTAATATATAATGTGCTTTGTGGCTAAAATTCTCCTCCCTAACCCCTCCCACCAGCATTTCTCATGTTTCTGCCCTGCACCTCTCTGCATCTGGTCAAGCGGCTGCCCTTCTTATCACTGCTTTGCTTACCTTGTGTTTTTCTTTCTTTGCAGAGACCCTCCTTGATGACTTCCTTCTCACGTACACCGTCTTCATGACAACTGACGACTTGTGCCAGGCGCTGCTGAGGCAATATCCTTCATTAACTTCAGGAGGCTGTCGCCTTCCTCTCAGGCAGATGTCTCCCATTAGGAATTAACTGCCTTTCTTAATGTACGCACCACCCCGCCTCGGTAGAGGACGTCTGTGTTCAATATTAATGTAATGACATCCAAAGTAAAAGATGAAATGAGACAGAATAGACGGGGGTGGGAAGGGGGGTACTGGGAATGCAGCTTCTGTTGGCACGCTCTAAATTGTACTGTCCATTATGTTTTCCTCATAACTATGTCTCAAGAAATCTGGAGGCCAATCGGGCCTACTGGGTAAGCCCCAGAGTCAAGAGGTTGAGTGAACTGGCGATAGGTGAACTTATAAGACAGTCAGTCAGTTAGTGCCGGACCGTTAGGGCAGGAAAGTGTATATATGGGATATCACATTTCTGGGTACATGTATATATGGGATATCATGTTTCTGGGTACGTGGCCCAGGGAGACAAGCCATTCCCCCAGCTGGAAGGTCTAAACTATCCCTGAAGTCTATTGTCCTCTTTTCAGAAGCATGCTCTCTCAGAATGAGGGATGTGTTTAGAAGGTTAATAACCAGTTAAGGAAGCTTTATGATTTGTACACAAAATGGAAGAGACGCAAGAGGTGAAAGGCCAAAAAGCCAAGCTAAGAAAACATATTTAGTTCTCCAAGTGAGCTTCCTGCCTCACAGTGTTTAAGGAAGATGCTTCAGAAGCATTTGCGTAACATTTTACTGTCAGGTTTTTATTAAGCTGAAATGAAGATTCCATTCGAGCCCACGTGAAAATTTTTAGAAAAATTGATTTTTTTTTTTTTTTTTGCATTCACCAAAGTTTTATTGAGCCCTAGTAATAGTCCTGGTTGTATTCCTTTCCTGTGAAGTAATTGTTACATTTCTCCCCCACTTTAGCATTTTTTGCTTAAAGTAATACTTTAAAATTTCATAAAGGGCATAATCTCTCTTTAAAATATATAAACTAGAAATGGTGATCACTTTTTAGTGCTTTAGTATCATGTGATCACTAAAGATATCTTGGAGATTTTTAGACCTTGAAACGTAGTTTTGAATTTGAAAAATTTCAAAAACAGATTTCTTCTTAAGCTTCCAAGTGAGGTGTTACTAAGAAATTTAACAGTAACTGAAAAGTTTTAAATTTCTCCTTCTTCAAACATGTTTTTTGAAAAAAATATTTTTGAGCTAATTTCTTCTCTGCTGTAATGCTAACAGTTTTCCAAGAGAATTACCATCCATTAAGCAATACATGTCGTTTTATAGCAAATTACATGCCTTCAAACTATTGTTGTTAAATATGATCCTAACATAATTTGTGATTACACTGAGTAATTTTATGCCTCATAGAGTTTCCCTGAGGAATGTCTAAAACTTTGCTTGGCTATAGACATGTTTGAGTCTTTGACTACAACATTCTATACAAAAGTTTAGTTCAGATTCTTAGCAGTCTTTTTACTGATTATCAAAACCCATGAAATCCAGGACATTTTAAGCCAGGAGTCTTTTTATGTGACTATTTTGATATAGTTGCAGCCTCCACCTTTTATGAAATGATGCAGACCCCAAACAGAAATGTGGCATCCACATTTAATCTGAGATAGCTTGATGTACATTTCAGGGAAGCTGTCTTTTACATCCTACTACTATTACATTCTAGGGAATAGCCCATATTATTTTTTGTTGTTTTCTACTCAGTGTTTTTGAACATTATTTATAGATTAAAGCCATGTGTGCTGTGTTGGAATATCTTAGGTGGATGTTTTTATTGCAATCGAATTTAATACCTTTTAGCTTTTATCATGATAAAGGGAGTAATTGAAGCTCACAGCCCTGTGTGGACTAATGGGCACTGCATTACATGGACACATCCCCACTATTCCTCTCCCCGCCCTCAACTGAATTTATAGATCCTTATAACTTAGCATGAGCAAAATGTGAATATACATTTGAATATACCCAATACAGAAAGCCAGAATAATACTAATGTAAATTAGTAAATATTTTTAAAATCTCTCTTGTAGGGGAGAGAACATGATTAAGCAAATAAATGGTAGTGACTAAGAATGAAGAAAAGTTGTTGAAATTTCAGTTCTCCAAATTGCTTTATCCTGCAGGCCCATAATCGTAGAATGGATATGCAGCCATAACAAAAAGCTCACCTCTTCACTTACATGTGCCGACCTCTTAATGTTACTTAAGTTTCCAGATTTTTTTTCCTTACATTAGTGAAGCTGTGACACTTAACAGGAAAAGAAGAAAAGGACATTTGCATAAGTGGAAATAATGAAGGATAAATCTTTATATGTTGCCTTTCAAGAGAAAAACAAAAAGAAATGAGTCCTTTAACAGAGTGCTGGCATGTCTGACTGAGTTTATTTCACCAACAGAAATTAAAGAAACCAGCTGGTTGTAGTACACTTTTGCAGATTCAAGAGACAGTGTATTATGTTTTTAAAGTATTTACAAAGACTGACAGAGCATCTGTTCCCCTTTTGCAATTACACATCAGCACTAAGGAATATAGGAACCTGCCCATCAACCCCAAAGCTTACCTGCGTTTTGTGTCATAGCACTTCCTCTTCCTAGCTGACCTTTCAATGCGTCCAGGATACTCAGAAATAGTAATTTTGGGGAGAAAAACACTAGGTTGGTTTGGAAAACACCAAGCTTCTGTCTCATTCCTCAGGCTTTAAGCATGTTGCCTTTGAGGTTGTTATTTTTAATCACTTTAACAACATAGTTAACACATGGTCATTGTATACAAATTAGAAAATGCTTATAAGTATATTAACAATTCATGGGCTCTGAAATCTCATTACCTTGAGAATCCACTGTTAATTGTAAGTATATCTTTACAGGTAATGGAATTACTCATATAAATAAGCAGAGTTAACAAAAATGGATCGTCTTAATGTATTCTTTTCTTACTTTCCTGCTTAACCATGTATTGGGAACATTGTGTCAGTAAATGTAGCTGAGCCATCAGTTTTATGGCTACAGAATTGCCCTTTAAATGGATATGTAAATAATTTTGTTAACTATCCTCAATGGTTAAAGCATTCAAGTTATTCATATTTTCTGTTTTTTTAGTCCAGTGAAAGTTTAAATGAGCAGTCCTTTTTATTTATGTTTGCACATTTATCCAGTCCTTTTTTTTTTTAAAGTAAATTCCTAGGGGTGGGCATTTGGAAAATGTTATAAATTATGCTTCAGAAATCTGTGCTCATTTGGGGCTACTTGAGAGCTAACTGGTTTTACAGAATGTAAATTTCTGAGGATCAAAGGGTATCTGATCTAGCTCTCTTCTAACATTTATGCAAACGATGTCTGCCTATAGAGTGTGGTCAGATCTCTTGGACCACCCTTGAAATTAGTGGGCCACCTCGTATCTCTCAGAGGTGGCGTTAACCTGTGCCACCTCTGGAACCGCGTCGGAAGCTGCTGATGTCATCATCTAGCCTTTATGCTCATGGCCTGTTACTGAGTGTATGTAAATTATTTGCCTGGCTTTGTTTTTGTTCTTTTTAATGTACCTCTTTTAGTCTCACTACACATATTATTTTTTTTCCGCATGGTTATATACATGTAGATTCTTTGAAAATATGATTTAGCAAGAATAAATGGACCTCTTCATATTTCTATTTTCAACATCGTAGTATTCTTTCTTAACCATTTGCACCTATTCTGCTAAGAAGTATCAAGGCAAAGATGAAAACTCAGATGTTCCTTGTCGGAAACGTAAGGTCTTACATCTTGTTTCCCAGTGGATTTCTCTGTACAAAGACTGGTTACATGAAGATGAACATTCAAAAATGTTTTTAAAGGTAATGTAAAACTTCTGGGTATTCTTTGATGCCAGATGACTGATTTTAATTTTAGTTATGCATTTAAAAAATCTCATTTGTAGGTTGCAGTCATTCACTTTTTGTAATATGCAAGTGGTGATTCGAACAAAGCATTAATTTATTTTGGCTTCTAAGTCCTGATATTCCTTACATAGATAAATATTTTTTTAATTTTAAAGAATTCATTAAGGAAAAATATAGAGGGCAAATTTTACATTCACTAATTTAATGTTATTTCATAAAAGTCATCGGAAGTTAGATTACCAATAAAATAATTTAAAAAGGTAAAATAAAACATACTTCAAAACTTAATAGTATTTAATATGTTGAGCTTTACTGTAAATTTGAACTAACCAGTTTCATATATACAATATGTGGATAAAACATCATTTAAAAACTGTATTCACGATATATACATCATGAAACTTTTTCAAGATGTGGTGTATTTTAAGAATTTTAAGTAATAATAACTTGTAAAATAGATGTTAACCTAGATTTACTTTTGGAATTAGATAAACTGGTATATTTTTCTAGTCAATAATATGCTGCAACACCTTTAAAACACAGACCATTCTCCCGAGATGATTTTTGGGCAGCCGGGTTCCTTTGGCCCCCACAACCACCTTAGCTGTGCAGGTTAGCACAGGGGTAGAATGGAATCTGAACAAGGAAGAGTTCTGTTCAGAATGGGCAAGTGTCTAAACTGCTTCTGCCTTTCATGAAGAGAACCACTTTGCATTCAAAATTCCGGTATCTTTTAGTCATCCAGTTAAAAACGCTTCAACCACCCCTTTGACTAATGTCTTTCAAAACAACTGGATAATTTAAATCAGTTGAATTTTTCCCTCCCAGATGATTATGTGGATATCATTTTTTTTTTTAAATATAGAATAGGCATAGAAATCTGCAGTGGCCAGCCAGAGATCTCTAAGTTTCCCGCATTTCCTGCCCACGGCCCCTACGTGCTGCGAGAGAGCCGTGCCGGCTGAGTGAGGGGCTCGGAGGTGTAACCCCACCCAGGATCTCGTGGTACCTGGGTGAATCCCCCGCTGTGTCCAGAGCTGCACCGACTGCCCTGGGCAGGTTAACCCCTGCGTGAGTCTAAATTCTTACTAAAGGGCATTCAGCCAATTCAGCTGACATTCTTCTTTTCCCCCTAGACCATATACAGGAACGTACTAGATGATGTGTATGAATATCCAATACTTGAAAAAGAATTGAAAGAATTTCAAAAGATACTTGGAATGCACCGTCGTCAGTAAGTATTTATTTTTCCATATTTCAGTTAATGAAAGAAGGCAGCAAATGTGATAGAATTTGAGACGACTTACAAAGTTCATTTTGAACATTTTGAGTCTGAGATTCATCTTGATTCTTCACCTTTTCTAGTTGTAAATTATGTGTTTTGTTTTTATATCTCTAAATGAACAAACACTAAATCAAGCGTATTGACTATTTTTTAACCCTATTTTAATACAAGAAAAACAAACTGAGCCATGATAAGTTAGGTACATGAAAATGATCATTCAATACATTATTTAATTTTAAAAGTGTAAATATTTAACTTGTCATTTAGGGGACTCATAGCTATCTCTAATAGAATAGAAAAAATGTTTTATAGATAAGTCCCAGCAAGTCGTGGAGCATTTTAAAAATCTCAATTTTATGTCCCTGAGTTTTCTTTATCAATTTAGAAAGATTAAAGAAAACCATTTACTCAGTGACTTTTGGCATGTCCAAGTATCCCCCAGGTATCTATCATTAGTCTTTCAAATTGCCAAAACCTGACTGTACTCTGATCATATGAACTCTCCTTATTTATTTTGGTAAATGGAAACATCAAGTCATTATTCAGCTTTCAGATAGAGCTGCAAAGTTAATCTGAAGGGGGAAATTGTCCTGTGTTTTACAATGTAGTTTCTACTTAGCAAACATAAAGCGTACCTGTTGTCAAGTTGTGAAAAACTTCTATTAAGATTTCAGCAGTCACAGTGAAGAGGGAGGTGTAGGTAAATACAGTTTCCCTGCTTGCACAACCACAGCAAAAATTACAGCTACCATCCAGAATCAAGTACCACCGAGAATCATCAGAAAATCAAGCTGTATGGAAATCTGACCCAGAATCATCAGAAAATCGAGTTGTATAGAAATCTGACAATCAAGGAATTAAAGTCACATTCATCCAGATGGGTAGGAGGAGCAGAGACACCGAGATACAGAATGCATAGTCCCACATGCAAGTGTGGTGGATAAATATTGGGAAGGATACCTTGGGAGTGAGGGATCCCAGTCCTACACCAAACCACAGAGCCCAGGGACCCAGTGCCAGGAAGATAAGTCCCCATAACTTCTAGCTGTAAAACCATGGGGGTTGGGGCGGCAGAAGAAACTGGGGGAGTTTCAGCCTTCTCCTCTTCAAGGGCCCCGAGTGGACTTAGGACTTAGGCAGACTCACTGCCTCTGGGTTCCAACACTGGGGCAGCAGCTGCAGGGGCACCAGTGACTTGAACCTGAAGGGAAGAGACTGAAATGTCTGACATCAGGGCAGGAGATAGCCTCCTCCCAGATGAAACTTAAGAGCTCGGGCAGTGGCCATTGTCCCTTTTCTGAGCCCTTCCACACGCAGAGCCAGCAGAACAGTGACACCGTATCTGAGACTCCATCAACCTGGTTCACACAGGTTGTCCAATCCTGGCGATTACCTAATGCCCTGCCCAATTCAAATTACAGGTGCACTTTCCTACAATAGGCCATGCTACTAAGACAGGGAGTCAAAGCAGCTCTACCAGATACATAGAAACAAACACATGGGGGGCTGCAAAATGAGGAGACAAAGAAATGTGGCCAGAATGAACGAACAGAACAAAACTTCAGAAAAAGAACTAAACAAAATGGAGATAAGCCATCTCTCAGTTGCAGAGTTCAAAACGCTGGTTATAAGGATGCTCAAGGAACTCATTGGGTACTTCAACAGCATGAAAAAGACCCAGGCAGAAATGAAGCTTACACTAAGTGAAATAAAGAAAATTTACAGGGGAATCAACAGTGGAGTAGATGACGCTGAGGATCAAATCAACGATTTGGAACATAAGGACAAAAAAAAGAAAAGAAAACAAAAGAAAATTCAGTCAGATCAGCAAGAAGAAAAAGAATCCAAAAAAAATGAAGATAGGGTAAGGAGCCTCTGAGACAACTTCAGACATACCAACATTTGAATCATAGGGGTCCCAGAAAGAGAAGAGAAAGGGCAAGAAATTGAAAACTAATTTGAAAAAATAATGTAAGAAAACTTCCCTAATTTGGTGAAGAAAATAGACATGCAAGCCCAGAAAGCACAGAAAGTCCCAAACAAGATAGACCAAAAGAGGACTGCACCAAGACACATCATAATTAAAATACCAAAAGTTAAAGATAAAGAATCTTAAAAGCAACAAGACAAAAGCAGATGGTTACCTACAAAGGAGTTCCCATAAGACTGTCAGCTGATTTCTCAAAAGAAACTTCGCAGACTAGAAGGGACTAACAAGAAGCATTCAAAGTGATGAAAAGCAAGGATCTACAACCTAGATTACCATACTCTATCCAGTAAAGCTACCATTTAGAATTAAAGGGCAGATAAAGTGCTTCCCAGGCAAGGTGAAGCTAAAGGAGTTCATCATCATCAAGCCATTATTAAATGAAATGTTACAGGGACTTACTTAAGAAAAAGAAGATCAAAGCAATGAGCAATGGCAATAAATTCACAATTTTCAACAATCGAATCAAAAAATAAACTAAGCAAACAAAAGCATAGATATGGAGATCATTTAGAGGGTTATCAGTTGGGAGGGGGAAGAGGGAGAATGGGGGAAAAGGTACAGGGATTAAAAAGTACCATTGATAAGTACAGAATAGATGGGGATGTTAAGAGTAGTATAGGAAATGGAGAAGCCAAAGAACTTATGTCCACCACCCATGGACGTGAACTAAGTGGGAGGGTGTGATTACCTGAGGGAATGGAGGATACAAGGTGGACAGGGGGGAATAGACAAAAGAAAAATTGGGACAACTATAATAGAACAATCAATAAAATATATTTTTTAAAAAAGATTTCAGCAGTCAGAAATGCACATCTCATAGAAAATGTTCATTCAGGCCTTCCAGATTACTGATTTGAGATTTAAAGTGTGACTTAATTTTAGTAAAGGGAGATCCTACTGCCAACTAAACATCTGTATAATTTTAGGCAGCAAATAAATTCTCAAACATGAAAATCACATACTTAGAAATTTAGAAATGAGGTGTAATTTAGGACAATGTGTTACAAATGAATGTTGTGAATTTTGGTGGCCTTTTTTGATCAGAGTCCGCAGTATAATGTTTCCACAACCTAGGACAAGTATGAAAATATGAACAACTAAATGAATCAGAAAAAGACGAACTTAGCATCAGAAGAATCCCCCACATAGAAGTTAGTCTGTGCTGTAGGGAAGCCTTATTTCTGTTGGGAACCTTCAATTTATGGTTTAATACACTTAAGTGCCTTAAAGACATTAATGAAATTTAATACATTCCATTAAAGAACTTAACATAAAAGTGGGAAGTAATAGATTGAAATAAAAAAATGTTGTGATGTGATCCTTGTGTCTTTGGTATAAGATTACGAAATATCTTTAGATTCTGGAAGATTTCAGCTGAGGACCTGCCAAATGTGCCCAGTCCCACCACACATAGAGATAGCTTGGAAAAGAGGCAGTTCGGCTACTTAGTTAGCGACCTGAATAACAATAATTTCAACTAAAATTTACCCAGTATGTGAGAAAACTGGAATGGCTGTGTACTGAAGAAATCCAGTTGTGCCTCCAGTGTTCACTTTCTGTGGGCGGAAAGCAAAACGGACCTGTTGAATAGACAGCTTCTTCCCGTCCCGGCTCACGTGAAATCCAGAGCCCACAGTCAGGTGTGTTCCACACCATTAACCAATGAACACTGCGCCTTAGCCTCCGGAAAAGCAAAAGCCTTTCTGCCCAGTGTCTGAAAATTAGCCTTCTGTGACAATAATTGCATTATTCTGGGTGTGGGACAAAGATTGACGCCGTGTTCTTTTCCTTTCAGCACTGTAGACGAATATTCACCACAGAGGAAGGTAAGGCAGCCCCACGGGGAGTGGGGGGTTCAGCTTCGACCCCTTGCCTTCTCACTCCTACCGCTTCCAGCAGGTCAGGGCGAGGCGGGGACCTGGGGTGCAGCCTGCCCAGGGTCTATCAGCCTCCCTCTGCCGGTACAGATTCAGCGTCAGCCCTGTGCCTTTGATGTGCTCACATTCGCCTATTTCTGTGATGCATTTTGAAGTCTCCGAGTTTCCCCAACGTCCCCAGGGTGATATAAAGTTGAATGTCAAACATTGATGGGGAAAAAAGAAATCCAGGCCAGAAGCTTGACTGCAAGAGTAAGGAAGGCTTATGAGGAAAAGTTTTGTGCTTTTCAACCCAACAGAGAGAGGGTAGCAAGAATGAACGTGTTTCCTATTCAACTTGGAGAGACTAAAATGAGATGCTAGGTACAAGTTGTGTAGAAGCAGGTAAGGTCCCTTACGAAAGTCACTGTAGTCCTGCAGAGTAGGAAGGCATCTCAAAGTCACTTTATTCAAAAGCAAGGTTGATGTTGGGATGGGGAACAGCAGCTGCTCAGAAGGGGGGGGGGCGAGGAGAGTTTGGTAACCAGATACCCTCCCGCATGGTGCTGGGAGGGATTATAGGGACTTTTTGCCTGGTGCTGGCCTTGGCCGAGGTCTGTGGCGTTGCTCATACTCTCCACCTCCACATGCTTCAACTGAGGCAACTCCCAGTTTATTCCTCTGTGATTGGACGGTGGCTTTCATACTGAAGAAACGAAATTGGCTAGCTCGTTTGGAACATGTTGTAAACAGCTGTGGCTTTCCAAAGGGCAGGAACACATTCATTCATTGTTCTCTTTCTCCCTTCTCACAGAATAAAGCTCTTTTCCACCAATTCAGTCTGAAGGAGAACTGGCTCCAGCATAGAGGAGCCATGACGGAAACGGAGGAAAGTGAGTGCGGTTGGGACGGGGTTTGGGCGGGTCGGGGAGCTGTCAGTCAGTCCCCGAGGCCCCCCAGCAAGCACACCGCAGCCTGCCTTCAACCACCTCCCCTTTAAGGAGCACATTAACATCAAAAACGGTGGTTTTCCTTTTCTTGCTTTTGGCATTACCATCTTCCTGATCCTGTAATAGTGTCCCAGGGACCAAGGACATTTTCAATTTGGAAAATAAGGAAAGGAGGCTCCAAAGAGCCTCCTGCGTTCCTGGGAAGAGGCGCAGGAGTGCCTGGCAACACGGCCTTCCCCTGGGTCATCTTCTCCCAGCTCTGTCAGCCTTGTGCCTGTGACTAACTGGAAAGTCCACTGAAGCCCACGTGCAGGGCACATTTAGGGAAGATATCCCAGAGAAAATAATGAGAGGAAGGATGTGCGACTGAAATTCCTTTGAGGCAAAACAGTGCCAGGCAGTGCCACACGCCCAGCATGTCCTCACTCGGTGCCCGGCAATGCGCACAGGGCTCCTGACCCACCGGGAAGAGGGCTGGCCCCCCGGTACAAGGGGAAACCCATTTTCAGCACTCTGAATGCACTGGTGTGCTTTTCTGTGGTAATATCTTGCAACAGAACAGAGCCTCGTTTCCTCTTGTTTGGATAAGGTTGAGTCAAGTGCAGAGCCGGGAAACAGAGCAATTAAAATGGTCACACTATTGTGACTCAGAGACTTTCTCTTTCAAACGCTTTTCAGTAAGTACTGAAATTCAAGTGTGAGCATTGAACATTTGCTCAATGTCTGGAACACGTAAAGAACAAAATGTCCCAAGGGTATTTCTTCTCTTACCTTGGTTGTATATAACGCTGCTCAGGAGGGTGCTGCGGTGTCATGGGAAGAGGAAGAGCAAACGAAATGATCTTACCTCCTAATTCCTTGCTCACTGACCTTCCTTGCCTATTCGTCTCTCAATTTCATTGTCTAATTTTACAAGCTGAGTTTCAAAGAGCCTGAGTATTTCAAGGCCCTGGCTCTCCTTTTTGTTCATCAGTTTGTTAAGCAAGCTGTAAACTCACATCACGTTGAGTGGTTTGCAGGTCAGACCTTTGCCTTGCTCAAAAATTCCATGTTTCTGTGCAAGGAAAAAAGCCTTTTTGTCTCTCACAAGTCTGTTGACAACATATACAACAACTCTTTGTTAGATGCTATTGTTTTAGTGACACGCCCAACTAAACCAAAAGCAAAATACTATCAGTGCCTCCTGGTGGTGTGTTTACTTTGTGGTTTGCACATGTGAACGCATAGCTAGTCTTTTGCTTCACTTGCATTTCTGTGAAAACAGTCCTGGATTCATTTTTGTGATGCCGTTTCAATAGCATATGAAATTTCTCTAGCAGATACATGCCTTTTTATTTTTCATTTTGTAATATAGAAGAGGAAAATACCTAAGTACATTATTGCCCTTCTGTCTTTTCTAAAGAAGCTAGGGTTTTATTGTTCAGAATAGCTGATATAAGAAGCAAATAATGTGTCAATTATCTCTATTGCTATTAAAACAGTTTCTGCTATCAAATCATAAAGAAACATTTCTCCAGGACACATTCACCCAGCTAGTGATAATATACTAGTAATAATTATTAGCACTGCAAACAATAAAAAGGAAATTAAAATGGCTAGAAATGTTAACCTCTATTTGGAAACTAAACTCACCATCATCTTGATTGGGAAGGGGGCGGGGGGTCATCCTTAAAAAAATAAAGAAGGCTGAACACAAAAACCATGGCAAATGACAGATTTTTAGATAAGTTTATGAGAATTCTAGTAATGAAATGTGGCCTTGGTTGGACCACTGTGACTGTCCAGAAATGGAGTGTAAAATAAAAATGTATGCATTAGACATACCGTGTGGGGAAGCTAAGTCCTCCACAGGCTTGCTCACCAGCTTATACCTCAGGTGTGCAAGCCCACATTTGTATGCGCGTACCCTCAGGCGCCCGTGTGCATACATAAGTAAATCTAGCTGCGAATGTTTTATACTAATGAGACAAGCCAGGAGGGCTGGTGCCTTGATTTAGAAAAGTCTGCACCTTGTCACCACAGCTCTCTGCGTACTAACAATGCTCCTGTCTTGTGCAGTTTTTTGCCATGTGTACATAACAGAGCACTCCTATGTCAGTGTGAAGGCGAAAGTTTCCAGTACAGCCCAAGAGATCCTGAAAGTTGTGGCAGAAAAGATCCAGCACGCAGAGGAGGATCTGGCGCTGGTGGCCGTCACGTTCTCTGGAGGTAAATTATTTTCTGTCCTTGAATATTAATCTTTTATTGGATCTTCTCCCAGAGGAGAGAGTTGACATTTTTATAGAGTAAACGTGCAGCTTGTCCCTTCTGGGTCCGCAGCTGGATGACCACAGGAACAATGAGAAGCCACCTACCAGAGGTGTTGCCATGACAACGGTTGGGTGCTGTTGGATACTGAATTTCCTCCCCTGGAACTGAATAGAGAGGCAGGCCCATGTTTTGAAATATATTATAAAGCTTTTCATATTTCGTACTCTAGATAAGCCTTCTATTTTCATATTTAAATTAACTTGGGAAATTGCTAAAGGATGAAATTACTTTAGGAAGAAAAAAGAAAGGCAGGCTTGAACTAGTCATATCACTGGCTGACGATTTAATATTTACAGACTACCTACTGATGGAAATAAAAACTGTGCAGTAAGCTCAAAGCTCACAAGGCCGTGCTCCTTCAGGTAGACGTGGGGAGCAGGCTTGGTTACAGCTTTTTCTTCTGTTGGGCCTTACTTATCCTCAGAGAATAGTTTATTGTCTGTTTTGAATAAGATCACACAGATTACAAGCTGACACTATTGATCTTTGCGACCTGAACAGACCCCTTCGTTCTCACCAGAGCCTGTCAGGTTTCAGTGTCGCTGGCCTCCTTTTTGGCTTTCCATCTTTATTTAGTATCTCATTAACCCTGAGGCAAATATAGAGGAAGTGACTTAGCATCAGTCATTGAAAAATAGATGGGCTGGGTGGGGGAGGGGAGCAGATTGCTGGCATTTCTGCTTACCCTTTGTTATCATTCTAGAGTCAGGAGAAGAATGTCAGAATTTAATGTGACCTTAGAGCATTATGTGACAGAATACTGCTTCCATTGCTGTGTTGCTGAGCGCCAGGTGAAATGGCCCTACAGGCTAGTCGATTACTTGTGCAAACAGACACAGCCCACTCCCGAGGGGTCATCAATGAGCGCATCCCCTCCCTCTCCTTGGGCTTTAATTGTGCATTCCATCAAAACGTTGTCCAGGAAAAAAGAGCAAAAGTTTGAGAAACATGTGGATTGCATGAATTTTAATCAGGGAGTGATTGAAATTTTTAATCATATATTTCAGACATTCCAGATAGATACGATAAATGTAAATTATATTTAATTTTGAGTGACCAAAGCTATTAAGTGATTCTAAACAATATTCAGTTTCATGAAAACCAACATTTGGACAGTACCGTTACCAAAAGGAATCACCGGGTCCCTGTCCAGACAGAAGGTGCAGGGGGAGAAAGGGGACTCGGAGTGGATATGGGGCACCACGGATTCACGTGAGACCCTCAGGGCCCCCTGTGAACCTGGAAACTAATGAGTGGCTCTTTTGCTACCTGCTCTCTGTCTGATGGCTATGAAATACCTTTTTTACACTCTATTAACCTGGGTTCATCAGAGTGGGTAGTGGTGTTTTAATGTGCGATACTCATTGCTAATCATCACTAGAAATATCGGCTTATCTCCTGAATTATCCCACAGCTTTGGGAATGTGCCATCATTTTGCATCAAATAGTAGTTTTGTCCCTTAAGAACCTTTCTGCCTGCAGCTTAATATCCCCCAAACAATAATGTATGTATGAAAGAGGAAAAAAAACAGCTTAATGTATTCCTTATTCTAGTTACATAACTTTCAGTAAATAATGTTTTAAATGGTACTGCACAGTGAAATGACAATGACATCTACTGTTGTTTTAGTTTTCAAAAAACTTTGAAGATGTTGGCAATTGGTAGATTTTGTGGATTTTTTTTTAAAGGGACTGGTACTATTAAGCTCATAGCTTTCAGTAGGTTTAGAGCCATTTTTGTATCAGGGTAGGTATATGTGTGTAGTAACAACAACGTACCAGTTATTCAGAGCTTAAAATTTTATCAGTTTATCAGCTTTAGTCTTTTATAGTGTAGTGACAAACCCGAAAATAAGGAAAAAGATTTCTTAGCACATGGAAAAATGACTGAGAACGCCACGATATTTTATTCCCGTAGCAAGTGTGGAATGGCTCTCATAAATTCAGATTTAAGGTGTTTATGGGCACACAGAGGGTTGCAAGAAATTGTAACCAAACAAAGAGGGAGGAGATGGAAGAACTTCAGAGCCCAGCCATGTGGGACCATTTACTACACACGTCAACAGCCTGACATGACAGTACTATTGATCTTTATAATGCCGGGCCGTAAAGAATACATTAGATTATCATTTGTGTGCTCTGTATTAAGCAGAACTGTTCAAAACAAAATTTGGCATTTTAACTGATTAAGTTATATAGGAAAGGACGTGGAATATTGCATTTCCCAACCGTGCTTGGGTATCAGAAGGGCTGCATTAGGAGAAGCTGATTATATTACAGTGGAGCAAACTTGAGTGTCACTCTAGCCGATTCCCATCTGCGTTTTGCAGTTAGGAGGAGGGTGCTTCTCTATTGGGGTGTAAGAGGTCTCATAGTAGAAAAATGGTCAGAGAATAGAAGCAGTTTGCAATAAGGAAAATAAAATGGAAGAAGAATATATAAAAAATTTCAGCGTCTCTAATCCAGAAATACAAAATAAAGTACAAAGCTGTTTTTGGTTTCTGCAAAAGAACAAACTTACCGAAAGTAATGATCAGTGTTGGTCAGTGTAAGAAATAGAAAGCAATTTGGCAGTTTGTATCAAAAACTTTAAAAATATCTATTCCATTTGACCCAGTAATTCCACTACTGGGAATCTATCTTAAGAAAATGAGCGCGCTGACTGGCGTGGCTCAGTCGGTTGGGCATCGTCCCACAAAGCTCAGGGTTGTCGGTTTGTTTCCTGGTCAGAGCACAGGCCTGTGCTGCAGGTTTGGTCCCCAGTCGGGGCCTGCGAGAGGTAACTGGGTGATGTTTCTCTCCCACTATAATGTTTCTCTCCCTCCTTTTCTCCCTCCCTTTCATTCCCCCTAAAAATAAATAAATAAAATCTTTAAAAAAGAAAAAAGAAAGAAAGGAAATCATCATTAAGCAGCCCAAGATTTAGGCACAAGGACATTGATTTCAGCGATGTATATTATGGCTGCTACACTAATAGATCCATTTATCAAGCCCCGATTCTGTGTCTGGCCCTGTGCTAGTATGTAGCATACATCTTGCCATCTAATTTATATGACAAAAAAAAAAAATTGGAAAACATTAACTGTCCAACAAAAGTGGAAAGATTAAGTCATGGTATAATAGACTGTTATGTAACCAATTAAACATGACATTATATAAATAAGTTTGACAAATGGATTAGTGCTTGTAATAAAATCAGAATATAAAACTACACATGGGATAATTGCAAATATTTATGTATTCATAATAAGTATGTATGCATATGTATAAATGCCTCTATATGTGTGTGTATGTACAGAGACATGCATGCTCTTACATAAAGATCAGAACAAAAATATACTCAAAAGTTAACCAATATTACCATCGTATGGTTATACGTAGAGCGATGGGATTATGAGTGAATTTTGTTTTCTCCTCTAAAATGTTCTGTGTTCCAAAGAGTGACTGAGACTTATAAGAAAGAACCATCAGAGGATCTCCTTTATGGAAAACGAGTTGTGATGTCCGTGCCTTCACGGGTACCGCTCACAGGGGTGTCCAGCCTGTGTGTGGCCCGCAGGCCACATGCAGCCCAGGAGGGCTGTGAATGTGGCACAACACAAAGTCGTAAATTTACTTAAAACATTATGAGATATTTTTGTGGTTATGTGTCGCAATGTATTTAATGTATGGCCCAAGACAACTCTTCTTCTTCCAGCGTGGCCCAGAGACGCCAAAAGGTTGGACACCCCGGTAGAGTATGCAGAACAAAAGTAAATCTACTTTACATCCTATTTACTTTTAGATATTTTTCTTTGGCAAGTTTCACTCTTTAGCTATACCTTGTATGCCTACTGCTGTTCTTGTGTTTCTAGTTACTCTTTTTTTTTTTTTTAAATACAGAAAAACATGAACTTCAGCCAAGTGACTTGGCCATCTCCAAATCCCTGGAAGCATCTGGTCGGATATATGTCTATCGGAAAGACCTGGCTGACACTTTGGTGAGGACCTTTGGCTTTGTACTTGAAACACACAGAGACAGATGCCAAACTAAAAACATATTTGTGTACATTTGATAATGAATGCTAGAAAAATACATTGAACTATTTCCTCCTCTAGCCAACAATGCACTTGTCAAGTAACACCGCTTTGCCAAATCAAAGACGTGCAAATTGAGAAATTCTCAACCCTTCCTAAGTCAAATCCTAGTTCTCTCTGAGCCCCTGAAACAAGTGATTTGAAAGAAGGGACTCCCTCTCCAAGGGAGTCTTAATTTCATTTCTTTATTTCTGGTGGATATGTGGAGAGCAGGTGAGAAAGGCACCCTGTGCGGATGGGAGGGGCAAGAAACTGCCCTTCGTTTCCCTGCGGTCGGTGCACTGGGAGTGTATCTTCCCCTGAAGGAAGTGGGAGCCTCCCCTGGGTACAATGGTCTCATGACAGCAATGGGACATCAGCTGCCACTGGAAAGGAAGTGTCCGAAATAATGTAGACCCCATGCTGTTAGTTACTTTCAGTTCAAATATAAGGCCATTTACACCCAACGAGATGATTTGTGTGTCTTCCCAAACTCTCAGTTTACAGTTGCTTTCTGTGCAGTGGGCTCCGCCACGTGTCAGAAGTCGCCTTTACCAGGCTGGGACTGCATCGTCCAGACTCATGGTCCTGGTCTGTGTCCTGGGGTCAGAACAGGGCTGCATCTGTCTAGCTGCTTCCTGTTGTATATATATTTGAGGGACGTATATACCGTGTGGATAAACAAAAAATGCTTATAATAAAAATGCTTTATGTAAAATTATCCACAGGATATCAAGCTACCATAATATCTGTCACTGTTTCACTTTTGATAATTTATTACCAGACACGTAGATGCTGAGTAATTTACATTCAGTGTCTTATTTAACATTCCCAATAACTGAGGCTGAGAGGCTGAGAGGAGCTTTCTCTGCTAGGACCCCTGTCCCTTTGTACTTGGCTCTGAGGCACCTGCATGTTCCTTTCATTTGGATGTGGTGAGAGGAAGGAAGAGGGAAACCTTTTGTCCAACGTGGGCCCTTTCCAGTTCCACGTGTCCTGCAGGTCACTGGTCCCCTGGCTGTACATGATGTAATCGCATCAGTGAAATGACACAGTGGGTGACGCTGCGCAGCATCTTTGAGCAAATAGTGAGACTGATGTGACCGTAGCTGTCCCCCTGAGGAGGACAGTCTACTGGGTAGCTGCCCGGGGCTCCTGGCGATGGCGGGAACCCGCGATCTCATCGTCTCCCTGCCCTCCTGCCCTCCTGCGTCTCACAGACTCCCCGTGCAGCGCCCTCGTGGGCACCGCAGAGCCCCCCACCTCCACTGCCCAGGAGGGGCAGGCCTGAGCCGCCGCCTTCCTGGGACATGTGGGTGCTGTGAAGTGGGTTCCGAGAGAAGCCAGGCTCCATCCTGCCCTCGAGTGGTTCCCCCACGAACTTTGCACGCCACTGAAAATTTCCCTGTTAGACTCATAGCTTTAAGTATTTTTATCTCCAAGGTATTTCAGTTGAAATGGACCATTGCAAGGGAAGAATAACACGTGAAACCACTAGTATCTCTCTACTTGCCTGTGGATTATATTCCTGGAAAGCAGGAACTAGAGCCCCGAGTGAGTGGGCTGGAGAAATAGACATAAAGTGTTTCTTGGAGCAGGTGGTGGACAATCTTGAAAAACCATAGGGCAGTACCAGGTGAGGGGCATAGTTAGGGAGAAAGGAGGAGGGGCAAAAATCCACGTGAAGATACCTTTACACTCCAGATTAGTAAACTGAGACGAGTGTTACTTCCCAGCTCGTGGCTCTGCCCTTGACTGTCTGCCACACAGCCTGCTGTCCGTCTGGTCCCAGTCAGACAAGCCGTGCGAAGCCTTGGCTGTCCCCACCCCCGCGGCTCAGTGTTCGCAGGGCACGTGCGTTCCTGCTGCCTGCCCTCACCGAGCTCCGCGCTCTCTCCCATTCCAGGGACACGGACAGTCTGTATCTGCTCTGAACAAAACTAAGTCTGTGGAGAAGCTCCATGTATTTATAAACGTAAAAATTCTAAAATGCAAATAACGTATCTTGCCCTTTAGAAACAGAGATTAATATTTGGAATCTGACCTCTTCCCTTCATCCTGCTACGTCATTTAGTTTGCAAAGTCCCGTTCTTTTTTTTCCCCCCTAAATCATTAACTATTTCAACATCATTAACTGTTCCAGTCCAGCCCCTCAGATAGGAGAATTTATATTTTAATTAAAATATATCAAATATTTTGAAAAGATGCTAAATATAAAGTGGGGGCATTGAATAATTTCACACCATACTTTAAGGAAATACTGTCACCAAACACATACCTATTTGTATAGGGAGAGCCATTGATACTTAACCACCCAGCCTAGGTGAAGAAACTTTTATTTTTTATTTCATGTTTCAATTTCTTTCCCGTTTTCCACAAGCGTTTTGATAAAATTTGTAAACATGTGTCTGGGGTGAGACTTGGTAAACATATTTCCTGTGAAAGCCTTGTCTGCCTCTATTGAAGTGCACCGTGACATTTCTTCTGTTTGTTTTGTGCTAACCCTGCTGGCACCTGAGTTCTTACCAGGAGCCCCAGTGCTTTCAGGGCTTCAGCTTCCATTCCGCGGTCGGCCCGGCAGTTTCTATATTCAGCTCTGCGGGGCACGTGTGGGAGTGGCCGGGGCTGGCTCGCTCACTGAGCACTTCTACTGTTTTCAAGGCTGTCTCCTAAATGGGCTGTAACTCACAGAAGGTGAACAGACTGGAGAGAATATTAAGTGCCCTCAGACAAGACTGCTTTTCTGATCTCGGCATCTAGTGCCTTCCTCTGGGCTGCCAGTGCACAGCCAAACTTTGGGAGTTACTGAGGATCCTTTTGCTTCTGTTGCTTTAGAACCCGTTGGCGGAAAATGAGGAATCGCAGCAAAGGCCGATGAGGATTTTGGGAATGAATACTTGGGATCTTGCTCTGGAATTAATGAATTTTGATTGGAGCCTCTTCAATTCGATTCACGAGGTAAGGAAAGAGTAAAAAGATCAAATAAATGCTAGTGCTCTTTTAACTGTGAATTCTTTTTGAAGAGCATTTATGCATATGACTAGGTTTTTAAAAGATCCATCCTCTGGTGGTATCATTATGGTAGGATACCATGGTCCAAAAAGATATATGAAAGTCTTATCCAGTCCTGGGAAAATCAAAATATTCAGTCATGCTTTATTTGTTCTTAGTGCAATCATATGTTTGTAGAATTAATATAAACATATCATTTTTATATGTATAAATATGTGCGTGTGTGTGTGTATAGTGTGTTTGTGTGAATAGAGCTCTAATGGGATTAAGGAGCCATTTTGCATGTGATACCTTTGATACTAATATTAATTTTTCCCATAAAGTTTACAAAGTTAAACAAGAACCGTATTATATTTATGTATATACATGTCTGTACACATATACACACTCATCCTTTTACTGAAGAACAGTCTATAAATTTAGACTGTTCGGCAAGACTTCTAGTACTTTCTTGAAAACCTTGAGCTATATTTCAAATTTTTACATCCATCAACTTCTCCCTTGAGGACAGCTTATAACAATGATAGGTTATGGGTGAAATGCTGCTGACCATTAATGAAAACATGTGGCCGGTGGAAATGCTTCCAGGAATCAGAAGATGAGAAATGAGGCAGCTCCGTGCAACCAGATGTGGCACTTACTTTGCCACGTAGTGAAGTTTTTTTCTTGTGAAATGTCCTTTCCTTCTGAAGGAGGAGTTCGTGCCCAACTTAATCCCTGAGTTTCACATTCATTTTAGAATGACTTTTCAATGTCCTCATATTTTCTCATTGAATTTTCCACATAATGATGTCAGTTTGAGCAAGTAGGGAACTCATTCCAGCTAAATAGCGTCTGACTTTGGAAATGTTAGTTGAATGGGACGTGTCCCTGCGTCTGCCGTGGAAGAGTATGAATTACTTCTGTGAAATATACACACCTCCATTTGGAAATAAACCTGTTCTATTGCTTTATATGTAATCAGTTATACATAGTAAATAGTTACCAGTTACTGGTCTTATTTGTTTGTTGCTTTTCTTTTTTTTAATTTTAGACCTTGCTCTTTCTGTTTACAATTTGGCACCATCTTATGTCAGTGGTTCTCGAAGAGTGGGTCTCCAGAACAACATCATCAGCACCACCTTGGAAACATGTTAGAAATGGAAAATATTTTGTCCCTACCGCAGACCAACTAAATCAGAAACTCTGGTTGGGGGACATCCTGATTCTCACTGAAATTTGAGAGCCCCTGTCTTGGGAATCTACTTGTGGGGTCTAGAGAATCTATCTGTGAGGGTCTAATGTGCACCTTAACAAATGCTAGTAATAGTATTCATTTGCACATGAATTTGCCAATATAACAAGTTTAGGACGTTTGGATTTGATTCAGCCTGAGATTTAAACTTCGTATGTCTTAGACTTTCACAAAGGGTCATCATTCTTACTTTCTTTAAAAAAAAAAAAAAAAAAAAAAAAAAAAAAAAAAGCCATAGGGAGTCTGAGTGAACGTCATTTAATGAGGCATCTGGAAAACCAAAAATGAGTTGTTTCAAATTTAATACATTGTTATTTGTTATATTCTTGTAGCATGTTATGATATGAGAGTGACTACCAGAAATAGCTCTTTTAAATGGACTACATTTTGTATCAAGTTGACTTTGTGCTAAAAATAAACACTGGCATGAACACATTTTCTTTCAGCAAGAGCTGATCTATTTCACGTTCAGCCGACAAGGAAGTGGGGAACACACCGCGAACCTGAGCCTTCTGCTGCGGCGCTGCAACGAGGTCCAGCTCTGGGTGGCCACGGAGATCCTGCTCTGCAGCCAGCTGGGCAAGCGCGTGCAGCTGGTGAAAAAGTTCATCAAAATCGCTGCTCAGTGAGTCTCAAGTGGTGAAAAGTGCAATTCCTCTCATCTCCTTGCAAGAGTGCTATTTTTTTTCCTTGTGATGATAAGAAGGGTTGGATGTAAGTGGGTAATACTGAGTTAAGTGACCAAATGCTTGAAAAGGTCTGTTCATGAATATTTATGTCTTTGTACTTGAAGTATTTATAGTCTAAAGTAAATGTCAAAATACCAGACTGAAGCCCCCTGCTCTGTGCTATAGACTCAGAAGCACACCTACCGCGTCGCGCAGCTAAATCACAGTGCGGCTGGTGAGCGGCAGCAGGCTCGGAAAGTGGGGAAGGGTGAGTGAGGGGGAAGGCATCACTGAAAACCAGGCGCCTTCGAGAATTCTGCACGTGGCTTCTTGATGCCACAGTACGAACTTTCCAGACTCCTTAGCAGGCCCCACACTGGCTGGTCCCGCCTGACCTCAGAGCCTCACCCACTGGGCGCGCCTCGTGGCCAGCCACTCGGAAAGGCTTTCTCTTTCCTGGGCACACCGTCCTCCTGGCATGGACCCGTGCTGTTGCGTCTGCTAAGAGCGGCCCCTTCCACCCAGCAGATTGCTCTCACTCCTTCAGATGCAGCTCAGATGTTGCTTCCCTCTTGGAGACATTGCTGATTTTCAAAGGCAAGGCCAGCTACTTCCTACCCTGACCCCCTCCCACACACACGCATACACATGCTTTTTTCCTTTCTAAAAATTTCTTTCTTATTTGTACTGAACTTAACCTGTTTACGTAGGGCCCCTCCCCTGGGCTGTGTTAGCCTCTGGAGGACAGGGACCCATTCTAATCAGTCCTTGCACCAGGGTGCCTGGTACAGAACTTAGTGAGCACCGGTGATGCAGTAAATGCTGGTTGAATGGCATTTCATTGTAGTAACTGGCTGGGAGCATCTCTTAAAATATCAGATCAGTCTCCTCAGACTGCTCTTGGAAGAGCGTCCCGCCAGGAGCAGGCAGCAGGAACCAAAGTCTTTCCCAGTTCCTTCTACCGGCCAGCCTTCCCATTTCATTTCTCCTTTGTCTTCCAAAATGTTGTTACATCAGTGTTTTGAGTACCTGTCAGTGTGTCATATTCAGGAAATATGTATTCATCACTCATTATAGGTGCAGGGCTATGCAAGGCATTGTGGGAAGTACACCTAGGCCCTGCTTTCATGGAGTTTGCGGTCCGCTGGCAGAAGGGGCCGCGCTTCGCTAACGCAGAGGGTCCCATCCTGGGGGCTTTAGAGGAGGGGGAACTCATATACCACCAATGTGGGAAAGGAGGACCTGGAAAACATTTGTGAAAGAAATAACATCCAAGGCTATGTTGGAACCCTGGGTAGAATTTGACAGGTATCAGTCCAAAACAGGTCAGAGTCACCGAGGAACAGACGCAGAGAAGCTCATGGGAGACAGAGAATGTGAGGCCCGGGAAAGCACCCACGTCCCGCTTCACCCGAGCAGAGGGCATTGGTGAGGAAGTCGTGGGAGATTCAGCTGCAAAGAAAGATGGGACCAGATTGTGAAGGATTTTGAATTTCGGCCTGAAGAGCGCAGGCGGCCTTGGGGAGGCGGCAGGAATTCACGGCCGGCTTTTGTGCAGGGAACCGATGACCCGGGTTGTCCCTCGAAAAGGCTGGTCTGCAAATTGCACCCAGACCGAACTGCAAGCCAGGAGCAGGGGTAGTTCGTTCACTTAGGCGACAGGCAGTAGACGTACCTGACTTGCTTGGTGTGATTGGACTGGAGGGAGAGAGAAGCCCAAATCTTGGACTCTTTTCATGTTAAATGCTCCTTTTATTTATTTTATTTGGCCAATATATTCCATAATAGTCCGTGAAATACCTAAAGGTGAGGCTCTTTTGGATCAAAAATAAGTAACTATCAGCTACTTGGGAGAAATGGGACATTAATGTCCCGAGGAGTAAAATGATCCAACGCAGCTCTGTCCCCAGTATAAGATTGTATCTGTCCCCAGGGAAATAAAATCTATTCACATCTTCTCCCTGTGGCCTCCTGATCTTGAATTATTTACAGTCCTGGTCTCTAACCCCAGCCCATGGACTGGAATGCCAATGGAAACACAAAGTTAAATTTTTTATAATCACAGGAGTAGGAATAACCAAGGGAAAATAATAATTTCCATGATCACGAAGTGTTTTCCCTGCCTAAGGCATCCTATTTGCATATTCATGTTTCCTTTCCTCTCACCATCCCCATCCCCCCACCTCTGAGGACTGAGTGGATTTTATCCCTCACACAGACAAAGGAGTGTTTGCTAATTCGGAATGTTCAGTGTCAGGCAGCCTGTTCTCACCCTGGAATGAACGGACCTTGGTAACAGAGGGTTCCAGGCTGGAATGGCACCCAGTGTTTGTGCCGCCTCAGTCTGTCTTCCAGAGAAATCGTGTCTGTATTAACTCCTCTTTCCTTTTTACAGATTCAGGTGTTGGTTTTACATGCTTTTTTGTTTGTTTGTTTTAAATATGACTGAAAAAGAGATCCAGACCAGGAAAACTATGTGGGAGTGGGAGGGAGCAGTTAAAGATTTAAAAAGTGAGGATTATATGTCTAACATTCCACATGGCTGAATGATGCTGAATGAAAAGAATAAACCTTTGTGTAATGAAGAATAATCAAACCATTTCCCCCAAAAGTCTTGGTTTCAGTTCCATTAAATGCCATCTGAGTGGCTTGCTGTGTGTAATGTTTAATTGAATATGGTATATAACTGAAAGAGCAAGACACAAAGTTAATATATACACTGTCCCAAATTCCATCTGATACGTTGATGGAGATATCAAAGAAGAGACGACGTCTGACAGAAGCTAAAAATATGATAGGCATTTTTTCTGCACCCAGCTTACAGTTAAGCGCTTTCATAGTTTTCATGTCTAATCACCAACTTAGGGTAATTTCTTAATTTTGAAGACTGGCCTCACAGAAGTCCTTTCCTAATGAGTCCCAGATAAGGGAGTGTCTAGAATTCACAGGTCCTCCTGGCTACGCGGGAAGCCCAGCCTCCCTCTGCTACGGCAAATGCCCTCAGCGGGCTTTGAAAATCGGTGGAATTTTGACCAGTTAAGTCAAGGGTATGACATGCACAATAGAAAACCTTACAGAGTGAATGGAGCTCCACATGATCTTATTTTGCATTTTACTTCCTTTTCTCTTTAAATGAGAAACATGGGACCGTATCCCTGTAATATATGCCCTATTTTACGTACATGCATAATGTAGTAGCAGTTTTCTTGAGCAAAGAAAGTCTGTATACATGTAACGGGAGGGGCAGCTTAGACCCATGAGGCGAGGGGGCTTGTCTGCCACTAAGCAGACACCTCGCTGAGAAAGGGGCCGGGACTGGGGAGCAAATATAATGAGAGTATGGTATATGCAGAGAAAGATGAATTTAAGAATTGTTAGTTGAAATTGTAAATGCCTCCAGCATAGGTTTTTAAAAAGGAGGAAGTTTTTGAAGGGTGAGAGGGTATCAAGAGCCGAGATCTCCTACAGGTAAGGGTGCGCTGCTGCACTTGGAACTGGTTCGTTTCCGTGAGTGGCAGCCTCGGGGACACCGTCCCACGACGGGGCGCTGGCGGGCGCGGGCTGTGGCACAGCGTGCAGCCCTGCCCTTGAGGTTGGACTCGGTGGCCTAGGGCGGGTATTTTCAACGTCACCTTTTGTGATCATCTGGAGAAAGAATGTAGCCTCAGAGTGCCTTCCACTTTCTGTTTTGTTGCAGCTGCAAAGCCCAGAGAAACCTGAATTCTTTCTTTGCCATCGTGATGGGTCTCAACACTGCGTCCGTCAGCCGGCTGTCGCAGACCTGGGAGGTGAGCCGGGGCCCCGGAAGGAGGGACGGATAAAGCCAAACGGAAACGGCCAGAAGCCGTTGTTTACCATGCATAAACTGACTTACATGGTTTTAATAAGTACTACTAGAAAAAATGTTTTAAAAAAATGGGTCGTGTTGGGAGGGACTGTTGTGATCAAATGGTCTTCACACTGGTTGTGTGACACATATGAAAGGGGCGAGAGTTGTAAGATGTTCCCAGCTAGAATCAGTCTCCCTCTGCTCCACTCCCGTGACGGCGTGGCTCCTTTCCAAGCTCACCTGTGTGACGATACGGGTCCGGAAGTCTGTTGGCTGGGAGACTAATGAATCACGCTCCAGGCCCGCCACGTGCAGGGCGCCCAGCAGTGTGTTCACGTGGATGATACACGTCTTTGTAAAATTTGCGAAAGTAAAGTAATTTTCATTTTCTTAAAGAAGGCCCACAAAATGCTCTAGGTTCCAGGCCTCCCGAATCCTGGCCCTGCCTCTGTTGGTGTTGTATGGGGAAGGTGGTTCAGGTTCTCAGATGGAGAACCGCCAAGTCAGCGCACGGTCTCAAACACGAACTTGCAGGGTATATGTGGGGAGAACTGAAATGGGGGTGTCCCTGAGTTTAGCCAGACACAGATGTGAGATGCTCGGCCTCTCCCACAGCCCCGTCCCCTTCTTCCCTTTGGGGCTGTGTTCCCTACTGACTGGCTGCTTCGCACCGGGCACCATTTCTCTACGTCACCCCTTCTCCTTGACCGTCACACCTGGCCCCTCTTGGCTCTAGCCTGTTTATGGCTCCCTGCGGTCTCCTTAGCTTCTCTGCAGTCTTCCTAGATTCAGCTCTGAGCAGTAACTGCTCTGTTCTCTTCATGGTTCCCATCGCAAACACCTGCAAGAGAAAGGCTGAGAGGCCAGCTGTTTCTTTTCTCACATTAGAGTCCAGCGTAGGTCTGGGCAACTTACAGACCCACTTCCGGTGAGTCAGGGAGATGCGCTGGTGGAAGGCACAGTGGGGGCTGCCACCGGGCCATTCGGTGGCATCTACAGCAGACGCAGATACACAGCTCAGAGGAATGATGGGAGTAAGTCGCAGATGGAGACGTTCTCTTTTCTCATGTGGCTTGCCCTCCATTCATTAACAGGTGTGTCTGTACAACAGTAGTTTCCAAACAGGTTCAACTGCCTGTTTGCAGTGATTCACTGAGTCCAAATTCAAAATTACCCAACTGAAAAGTTTATTTCTAAATAATTTAAAAGGCTAATTACTGCGGGGTTTGCCTCAATCACTTTGACTTGGAAACAGGAAGTCTGACAAATATCTTCCAGAATATAGCCGTGAGTGTTAATGGCTGGAATTGGGAAGCACTGACCATGAACTGCACACTCTTTGTGAGTTGTCTCCTCTTCGGTTAGAGAGCGTGGAGACTTGCAACAAACCACACAGCTAGGAAGGGGCAGAGGCAGAATTCAAGTTCAGATGGTCTTCTACTACGTCCAAATGAAAGGCGCCCAGCTTTTCACTTAATCACGTTAAAGGCTGGCTGGACAATTCCAGGAAAATGCCAGGCTCTTCTCCCTTAGACCCCAATTTTTATCCGGGAGGATGGCATATCCTCTGTCATTTTACCCGCCCCCTATTGGTGTGGTTGGCCTTTATAAGTCAGTAATTTTACCTATGGAAGCGCAGGCTTTGTCATTTAGGGTCTCCGTGGCCTTTCATGACTTAGCCCTCTGCTGTGAAGCATCACCGTATCACTGGTACAAAAAATGCCCGCCGGCAATATTATTCCCAACCAGCAAGGCTATTTAAGGAGATGGGAGCACCTGCCAAAGGTAGGTTATGGACTGAAACCCAAGTCATTATTAAAAACCAAGTGTGTGGAATGTCCAACCAGCTGGATTCCAGTCCTGCGGCTGTTATGTATTCTAAACTGTTTTTAGCCACATTTGGGATGAAAGGGAGACATCCCAAGGAATGTCACATTTGACTGGGGATGAAAACCACATGATGAGAAGCAGTCAGGGAAGAACCCCATGAGAGATGGATTTGTGTTCGGATACAGGGCACATGTAAGCACAACTTAGCGAACATTCCCCTGGGCACCTCTCAAAATGACAGACTTCTCTGACCTTTTTTTTGTTTTTGTTTTTTGTTTGTTTTTAGAAAATCCCTGGGAAGTTTAAGAAACTTTTCTCTGAACTCGAAAGTTTAACAGTAAGTAGTTGAGCTGGAGGGGACTTATTCCTCAAATTAGTGGTTAGTGTCTGATTTTGTTCTAGATCCCAGCAGTGGGTGTCTGCCCTCCGTTGGGGCAGGCAGCTCAGACGAGCTCACCTGTATGTGAAAATGTAGCTTTGCTCCTTAGGAAGTGAAGCAGGTCTACAACTAATGCTGCTGCTTCTTTGTGGGAAAAGGTAGTGAGAATGGTCCTTTCAGTATGAGTTTGAGAAGGCAGATTTTTAAGTGTGGTCCACTTCAAAGCCTGTGGAATGAGTATCAATTTAGTGTGCAATCAATGTCTTATGCATTATTCTTCTCTCCTTTTTACCACTTCTTAGGTTAGGTACAAAATGTATAGTTTCTTTTCAAAACACAGCAAGACAGAGTTCTCTTGTTTTCTCTGCATGTCTGTATATTGTGAGGGCAGTTTTGCTTTGCCGTGTACCTGACAAAAGACATTGGGGTTTCTTCATGATAGAAATTATGCAGAGGAAACTATACTTGGAGAACCAATTCGAGGAAAATAATAGGGCAATCAAAAGACGTCTCTCCTTTGCTGTCATTTCCCATTATTGTAAACCAATAACTTGGCTTCCATTCATTGCCTAGATTTCCTGCCCTAATTTAGCGAGTTTATTTTCCTAGGAAACCTTTATCTACTTCGTTCTTAGGGAGGCTCTCTCAGTATCTAAACCATGTTCAAATTGTATAGCAGAAGTGGATTTAGAATTGTTTCTATAGCACATTGATTTTTTTTTCTTTCTCTTCGTAATGTGCTTGCTTCGGCAGGATCCTTCATTGAATCACAAAGCCTACAGAGATGCATTCAAAAAGATGAAGCCACCCAAGATCCCTTTCATGCCTTTATTGCTTAAAGGTAATGATTTTTTATCTTTTATGTTCTGTAATTCCATCTTCCAGAAATTTATCGCTGTAACTGTAGAGAGCAAAAAAAAAAAAAAGAAAAGAAAAGAAAAGAGGACGCAGTTTATTTCTTTAAAGTGTTGTTGACATTCAGACCTAACAGTGTTTGCTTGTGATTGTTTTTCAAATGCTCGTTTATTTCTGAAATGCCTAAAATACTGAATTGTACTTGAGCAGACATCAAAACATTTTCCCTTGACCCACAAAATTTGGCACTTTTGTGTTTTTACCTCACCCTGCTCCTAAGCGCTGTTCTATTTTCTGTGAGTTTACACACCACTGCATTCAACCAAGAATCGGCTGGCGTGAGGAACCCAAACAGTGCTCGGTCCGGGGCTCCGTCAGCCGCCCGCGGCCCAGAGGGCAGCGCACAGCCTGGCGCAGTGCGAGAGACGCCTGCGGTCAGGCACAGACTCCCTCTTCCCAGGAGCGAAATCCATGTGGGGAAGATGGTGGCCACCCTGCGTTAGTCCACCAACTTCTCTGTGGAGTAGCACATGCTTCATACAGGACATATTAGTTACATTCACTAATGAGACCTCAGTGGTCTCTTTCAAACCACAGGAATTCACGAAGGGGAAGTCCATTTGAACCTGGTCTCCACTCCTACCTGTGTGTTTTCCAGGGAAAGGGGATTTGGCCGTGTTTCTTGGCCATATTTTGATGCCACAGGATTTTATAGGAATACTCTTTTATATAGCCTCTGCTCTCCAGAGGCTCATAACTTCGGCTGGGTCAGGCCCCCGTGACCGAGCCCATGAATGTGATTGTGGAAGCGAGTTATGTAGGAACTGGATTGCTGGGTGGCCTGGCCGTCCCACACTCCCCGCACTGCGCCCCCTGCCCCGACCCCTGCCACCCCCACCACTGCCAGCCCCACTGGCAGTAGAGCCGGGATTCCAGTCTCTTAGGCTCCTCTCGAGGGCAGGCAGAGCTTGGAGAATCGCTGAGTCGCTGTGCGCTCTTGCCGCTAGTCATTTAGTCTTCGTCGGGTATAAAGTAAGAATCCCTGTGAAACAGTGAACACAATAATATAGCAAGACAACCTAGAGGCATAGAGATGCTTCATCAAAGCTGAAAAGATTCTGCTAGATGTAAGGAACGAGATAAGGAGAGATTGTAATGTCGAAATAATTTAGAAGTTCCTGTGATTCTTCATATTTATTTCCTGGTAAGATAAGTTTACTTAGGCTTATGGTTTTTATTTGCAAAATAAAACACCTTCAGCTGGAGAACGGGGTGGGTGGTAGTGGGAAGGAGCACAGAGATTCATTTAGACACAAATAGGAAAACAATATGAGGACAGACCTTAGAAAGGAATTGACTTCAGGAATTAAAAATTTTAAAACTACTATTTTTAAGGTAATGAGAAATTAGTGGACAGTGTCCCTTTAATTTAATTAAACATGAGCAGAGCTTTCTGCTAGATGTTAGTGATTCTCCCCAAAAACACGCAATGCAGCCAAGTGTCACACATTTACATCTTAGCCTGGATGCAGTTTTCTGCTCGGCTGAGCTTATCTAGGCCCCTTGGTTGGCAGCACAACAGATTTCCCTTATTTCCTACTGAATATACATTCACTCAGTTGCACTAGGAAATGAAACACGTGTTTCTTTTTTTTTTCTTTAGAAGCTTTCTTGAGTTAAATAAGCATTTATTTTTTTCCTTTAATTATTTGTCATTACAAAAATAAGCATCATTAGCACGCCATCATATTTAAAGTTGCCATTTTGTCTGAAATAATTTCCAGAGGAAAACAGGATGAAAATTTGAAATATGTATGTATTATGCAAAGATAAGACATTTTGGAAAAAAGAAACATTATTTCTTAGGGGTTTTTTTAATTGCAAAAAAGTTATTTTAAAAGTTTCAATAAATTACTTTAAAGGACCCAACTTTTTAATGAAAATCTTCCCCACCCCCCACTTCGTATTTTGGGTTCCTTTTAGTTACAGAAAACGACTGAACTGGGCCCATAGGTGCTGAGAAGCTAAGGCTTCCCATGTCTGGTGCTTTGAGGTGCTCAGTGCCCGGCGAGCCTGCAGAGTATGAGTGAAGCACGTAACCTGAGGACCCTGTCAGCCATCAGCTTTCCTGCTTTCCAGTTGAATTTCTTGCCTCTTGATATACTTTCCCTCCACTCTGGTGTGGAATCTTTTAAGAAAGCAGGAAACCCTAAATAAGTGTTGTTGAGAAGATGCAGCTGAGCTAAAGGTCCAACGCAGCTGAATAGTCCATTATGTGGGGGTTTGGGTGATGGTAGTTCCTTCCCACGGAGTGGGCATTCAACGGGTTTTTGAAGATAAACTGAGGTCCACGTGGGTCGTTGTATGGGTCTTAGAGCAGAGATTATTATTGCAGTTTTGTGGGGGTATTGGAATTAAAGGAATGTCAGGGTGCTTGTATGTTCCTTCTCTTTTACCTGCCACCTGTTTAAATAGAGTCATTTCATCCAGCAGTTCTAGCCTGTGAAGCATTTGGAGTGCGTTCAGGGGTCTCCAGGTAATAGGGGCCTGGCAGGTGCCCCTTCCCCACAGCCTGAGCTGCTTCACAACCTGCGGCTTAAGTTCTGAGATCCCAGGGTGCGAGCTCAGCCACCTGTTGGTTTATCTCTCTCACGCCTTTCTCTTCACACATCTGCCATTCAGAAGTGTCACACCTTCAGTCACTGGGACCCCCCCATCCTCCTGGGTGGCTGTCCCTTCCAGCCTCTCTTCCCTGACCTGGACAAGTCCCTGAGCATTGAGGTTCAGTGAGACCACCCAGGAAGAGGAGACTTATGGCTACAGGGCACCCTCTGTCCCATAAATGCAGCAATTGACGGTGACAGGTTGTAAGAAATGTCCGAGTCCTCTCAGCCGGTTAGGAACAGAGAGACACAGGAAATGGGTCCCTGATGTGAATCCTGGCTGTGACATTTAGCCTGTGATCCTGGGCCAGCTGCATGTGTTCCTTGGACCCGGGTTTCTTCACATTCTTTCCTGCTAGGGCTCTACCTTGCAGTCTCCTGTGAAGATTCAAGGAGTCAGTGCCGTGCCTGATGCTGTTAATAAATATAAGCTGTCGTTATTTTCCTCACCCCTCATCGTCATCCTCAGGAACGTAGAAGGGGGATGACAAATCTAGTAGCACTAGGGGATGGACTCAGCGTTTGTAATCTGAATGCTCAGGGAGTTGGGCGAGGCCAGGCTTAGTGCTGTTTCGTGTAGATGGAGTACACACAGGATTCTGTGTGTGATACAAAAAAGGTCAACATTACCTGTGCTGACTACTCTTTCTTAATGATTGTTATACAACGAAACTTTACAGTTCTTTTCTGAAAGCAAAATCATGAAAGGCGGTAAAACAATCAGAGAGTTTGTCAAATGACTGTGTGATTGTGAATTGTTTTTCTGCTAGGACATCAGTTTTTTAAAAAAAAGAAAGAAAGAAAAGAAAGAGCACAGGAAAACTTTGCAGAACGTGCTGGAGGCTGTCAGGGATGCCTTGAGGAAAGTGTTGTGTTAATGCGTGTGTAACTACCTAACTCGAGTCGCCCCCTGGCGGGCAGTCCAAGTTGGGTGGCCGAGTGCGTTGTAGGTGGGTTTCCGAGCACCTAGCTCTTGTTTGCCCCCTAAGAACCAGCAGGATCAAAGTCTTGATTACATGCAAATGTTTTCCCTTTCTATTTAAGGGAATTTTAGGTTGTTCTTTTCCCACGTTGACATCAGGTTATTTTAATAGATTTTTGAAAGTTATTTTGATTTGGTTTGCCCACCATGTAAAGTGTGGCATATTTCTTACTTTGATTCTTGTCTGTGAGGACTCGCTAATGCTCAGTCACTGACTCTCTGATCTGAGTTTTTCTGTTATCCATTCTCATAGCTTCAGCTGCTGTCTTCCTTGTACCCAGTTCCTAAACCCCTGTCTCTCTGGAGGCATTCCTGTGCTCCTTGCAACCACAAGGAGACTTGTATTTGAATTGCATCTGTCACTTTAAGTGAAGTGGGGCTCAAACCAAATGTAACTTTCTCTTCCTCTGACAAGAACCCCTCATCCCACTTTCCTTAGGTTATTTTAATCAGCCCTGCTTTCTTTCTGCCAGTTGAATAGGGCCAGGAACCTTGCTATCTCAAACTTGTCGCTTTCTTTACGCACTTCTGATACACAATCAGGCGCTGACTTTGTGAGCCAAAAACCTAAATTTAAACATCTAAATCTAAATCTGAACATTTTAAATAAAGCAGGTCCCCTACACTTGGCCAAAAATTGTTTTAAAAAATGAAACATGTAAATATTAAATCCTATTATTTCTGGAGATTCAGTTCTTTTCTGCTCAATGTTCTGGCCGAAAAACATAATGGACCAGTTAGGTTATAGAACAGTGTTAGTTTACATTAATCAGGTTGAAGTCAAACACTTTGTTATAAGTGCAAAATATATACTTGTGTTAATGTTAAGATGTTTTCTCTCCACACACACACACTAATGATGCCCATTGACACTGACTAGTATACAGTCTCAGTTTCAAGTTGTCTTGTCAAGTGCATGGAACAATCCATAGTGTTGAAGAAAAATTAATAAATTACATTGCATCCGGGCCTCCTCAGCCCTGACTCATGATCCATTCCTAATGCTACTGTACCTTTTTGTTTTTAATTTTCAGATGTAACGTTTATTCACGAGGGAAATAAGACCTTTTTGGATAATCTTGTCAATTTTGAAAAGCTGGTAGGTAAATTTCATCATTTCTCCTTTTTCAAATGTATACTTTGCTTTCTCGTACCAAGAAACCAGTGGACGTAGCACTTTCTTCATTTAATGCCTGATGATTTCCAGGAGCTTATTTGCTGCATGCTGTGCATTGTCAATAAAATTTATTCCAATTAAAAATAAGTGTGCTAGCGAGGTTTTGAGGAACAAATACAAAAATCTGCTCTTTATTTTTAAAAATGGAACTTAATTAGATAGATTAACACCAGCAATTGCATTTATGTTATCGAACCAAAATGAAGCCGTAAGGGACCTGTCGGGGGCAGTTACACTCGTGAGGGCAAGCTTTTCTGCTTTAAAGGCACCTGTCTCTGTCCCAGCATGCACTGCTTCTGGGCACCAGAGAAAGGTCCCCTTCTGGGAGATGCGCCCACCTCCCCACACTCCTGGCTGGTGGGATGCGAAGGGTTTGGAATGTGTGAGGGGAAGGCCAGCCTTTTATCAGCCTGTGGACAGGAAGTGCGAGCAGCTCTGACAGAGTGACCCCCTGCTCATGAGACAGGGGTGCCCTGTCAGTCCTTTCTTAACTTCCAGGACATGCAGAGGTTCCTCCTGGCCTTTCTGACCGCCCACTCCGAGGGCAGGGGGGCAATTGTCTGTCAGAACTGCGCAAGAAGACAATAGGAGTGATCCAAAGGGGCCTGGCTGACAAGAGGGATGGGTTTGTCTGACAGATGAACTTTAGTCATAGATTAGATTGTCCTTTGTGGTTAAAAACAATACCAGTGACCCCTGTCCATAGATCCTGGCCTTTGAGTGACCTTTTCAGTAATGGTAATGGATTTGTGAGAGCTGTTTCAGGAACTGGCCGCAGTTCCCCGTGAGCCTGGGGCAGGCGTGTGTGAGGAGGCTGAGTGAGGTGAGGGCTGCCGGCCATGATCCAAGGACAGTACAAACGACGAGTCCACAGGAGGTTGGGCGTCTGAGCTCTGCCTCACGAGGGCCCTGCTCTACCCGGCCCCACGCAGGATGAGGCAGCACAGGATCACCGCATAGCCTGGAAGCCGCAGCCCCAGGGTCTGGATGGCAGATGTCTTAGCCTCTCCTGCCAGAGGTCCATTTTAATCCCTTGAGGATGATCCCTTTATGACTACTTATTATTAAAGTGGATATATCTATAACTTTTCACGCCTCTGTCTCTGCACTGAGTGCTTTGGAATCAGAGTTCAGTTGTTTAGATGCTACAGTCAAATCAGCACAGCTGGAAATGGGTATTTAAAGTGTTGGGGTTTGAGTACCAGTTCTTTGGAGATTTGTCCTGTGTCGCTATGTAATGTTCTGAAGCGCACGGGCACCTATTTGCACCCAAAGGCTGTGGGCACTACATTCTGGTTCCCAGGCAGATTAATCTCCAGTGTTTGGTGTTAATGAAATGATTGCAGGAATATAAAGCCTTTGGTCAATACTTACTTCAAATCCTGGCTAATCCATCTGGTTAAGAATGCCATGTAAGCTTTAGAAGGCATGGTGATGGTGTAAGATGACGTTTGTCACACCAAGTGGAATTCCCCGTGAAGGTCTAGTTACTTTCCTTCTCACCAACCAGGAAGAATGTGGGAGGAGAATGTGCTCTCTGAGCTGACTCTTACCCATTGTCAAGGGCAGGCTGGTGGTTGACCTTCTCCCCAAAGGGAACCAACAGTTTAGTTAAGTTCATTTTGTCATTTCCCCTCAGATAAGTGCCACCAGAGTGAGAGAACAATGCAGTAATGGCACAAAGGGGAGAGAGCGATGGAAAGATCCCCCACGCTCTTCTCTTTCTGGCCAGCGCCTCTCGTCTTCCCCTGCTTTCTCCAACAGTCCAGGGGACGGTTTTTAATGCCAGCAGATGTCATCTGGGGCCTTGCTTTCATATGTGCTAAGACTTCAGACTGACCCCTGGGAGTATAAACAAAGAAAGCCTAATGCATAGTGTTTCTACTGAGGTCAGTAATTACCTGTACCCTTAATTCTTTAAGAAAATTTAAGGAAACATAGCATAACATAGGTAAGTAATAGTCTATTTTTAATTTTAAATTTCTGAAGAGAACTTTTATTTATTTAAAAGACAGAGGATAAGTACAGTTATATATGAGGTCCCCTAGGACACACCTTGGGTTCCTGGTCCAAAGCAAATGGCATTTAAGATACAGCATGCCCTCCTCGCACAGAAAAGATAGGGTGATGTTAGAATTTTCTAGAAGGGCAAGGATCTATTTTCTATTGTACATAGCCCTATGTTATACTTAGGTGCCGGGGAACGAAACTGAATTTCCTAGTAGAGGCAGTATTCCAAGGAGTATTTCTTAGCAAAGGACAGGGTTTCACTTAAGCTAAAACAAGATCATCTTTCACAATAATGAACCAATAGAATGTAACTGAATTAACTTGTGAGGAGCCAATTCCTCATGATGGATATTAGCTCAAGCCAGCCAGCAGATAATTCAGTGTATTATCTTTATCTGGCTGATACAGGCCAACACATTAAGGCAGACGACACGAAGGCGCAGGAGCGCGCGTAGGGTCTAATAAGATTTCCATTGTGCCCCGTGCTGCCTCAGCAGCTCCTCACGTTTCAGCCTCACCCTGGGCAGTAATGAAGAAACAAACGCTCTGTCCTCTTCTTCTCTTTATCCCTCTGCGTTAAGAGGGTCATCTTTTACCTTAGCATCCTCTCTGAGAAAACCCCAAGATGAGGATCCGGGCTCGGGTTTCAGTGCGGCCCCTGGGCTGAGCCTCGCGTGCGCTCTGCAAATGGCACACGATAGGAATCGGTGTGACGCCAGAGTGCGCCACAGCGAGGGGACTGTCCTGGGAACGGCGGGGATTCGGGAGAAAGGAAGTTGAACAATACGCTCACAGACAGGAGTCAGGTCTCATTTCCTTTACAAAGGCAACCAGAGCTGCTGCTGTGATCACTGTCCTATTGAATTTTCCACGATTGAGTGGGAATACAGCTGTGAGAACAGTCGAGTAAGTAGGTCATGTTCAAATACACTTTCTGTAGTTCTGATGGATTTTTAAGTAAAAAAGAAAAATTAACTGTATTTTAACCCCTCATTGAGGATTTGCTGCGTAGGGATGGGCCCGTGTTAGGTGCATTTACACAGGGCGTGAAAGGGGAGGAGCCGCGAGGGGAGGTTTGAAGGACCAGCCAGTGAACAAGGTTGATTCTTGAACAATGGGATGATATTTGGAGTTTGATGGGAAGCAAGTCAGGGAGCCCCTGTAGATTCTCCAGAGGACTAGAACATGATGGCAAGCAGTGTTTGGAGATGACCCGGGCAGCTTGGAGGAGCGGCGCGGGGGATGGCCCTGCCTAAATGCTGTATTTCCTTCATCATGGAAAACTGAAAACGACAGAGCTTAGAAGGCCGCTTCAGGTACACAGACAGGAGGTGGAGGGATCTTGCCAAAAGCAGCTGTGAGTTTCAGGAGACTTCTGCCTGGAGATCAGTGAGAGCTTTAAAGGCAGAAACTGAAGTAGAATACCGAAGAGTATAGGAAGGAAAACAGAAAACCATCTTTGTGAAGATCTGGATGTTTTAAAAAATGTTTGCCTCCCATGACTGTCTCGCTTCCTGCCACCATTGGAGATGCGTGAACCTTTGATTCCCCAAGGAGCCCTGCCTCCATTCAGCAAGTGTGTATGAGTCATGTGTATGGCTGACCGTAGAGGCTGGGTGTGCAAAGCCCTCTGGGAGGCCTGGTCTACAGGAAAAGTTCCACAACAAGTACGACAACACAGAGCCAGTATATTTTGTACAGAGAACAGTGGGAATGTTGAGAATGGCACCTCCCAAGTTCAGAAGGGAGAGCTCAGTAAGGCTCAGCGGAGAAGAGGCGGGATACCCCCTCCCCCTGCCCCAGAAGTGAAAGGCCTAAGCAAATTGCCAGGGGCAGGGGCAGGGGCGGGGCTGAGAACTGTGTTTCTCTATGGTTTGTTTTCTCAAGGCTCGGTCAGAATTGCGCAGCTGGAGTTTAGGAGCCATGGCTCCTGCAGACAAGGGGCCAATCTTCTTTTGTAACGCAAGTCCAGTATTATCAATGACAGTTGAGTCCAGCTCCAAATTATGCCCAAGGGTATGAGGGTCCTGTGATTCCGGCAGGCAGGCTACCCTAGCAACACCCTGAAGGACCCTTCCACTGACATTTTCCTGCTCTCCCTTCCAGCATATGATCGCAGACACTGTCCGAACCCTGAGGCACTGCAGGACTAACCAGTTCGGTGAGTAGCTGAAGTTGGTGTGCCATGTGCATCTGCCATACAATGGTGTAGACTGTGACCCTGCCACGAGTATTTGACAGTAATAAGTTGAAACAGATTGTAAGGTATAATGTGCATGTCGCACACACACACTGTGCTCTCTCTTTGTGTCATCGCTGCGTGTTTGGAATGCAGAGGAAGGCAAGACATGGCAGAAAGTAGCAGGGGTGTCCAGCCTTTTGGCATCTCTGGGCCACACTGGAAGAACAGTTGTCTGGTGGCACACATTAAATACATTGCGACACATAATCACAAAAAGTATCATAATATTTTTAGTAAATTTACGATTTTGGGTTGGCCCCCATTCATAGCCAACCTGGGCTGCATGTGGCCCTTGGGCCGTGGGTTGGACACTCCAGTAGAGAGTGACTGTGGACCATCTGAAGCTCCCACCCCACCCCCAATCCAGAGAGTCTTGTTTGCTTGGCCACTGGCACGGAAGTACCAGTGGATTTATCAGGGGTGACCCCGTCCCTAACCTCCTTGCTTGGAGCCTTCCTGGAATAGGAATATAGTTTGCAAATGTGCCGAGTGCAGCCTTCTAGAATCTTTCCTCCTCTCCAACAAAAACTTCCTGTCTGGGGCTGCTTTTCACTGAAAAAGTATTTTTCTGAGCAGTTCAGTAGACTCCCCACCGAGACAAATGTAAGTAGGAATATTTGTTCTTTTCTGAATCTCAGGCACAATTTACATTCTGTTGAAATCGTGGTAGAACACTGCAGGAAGGAAGGAAGCCGCCCTCGCTGAGTTCGTGGAGCTCTCACAGGGCAGCGGGACTCTGCCACCTGCATCGGTGGACAGAGCTCGTCAGTCCTGTGGGCGCCGAGCAGGGGGAGCTTCGGGCGCCCCCGGGAGCTGTGAATCACACCAAGCCTGTCCGACTTCCCAGTCCATACCCTCTCCTTTGCCTGTGCAGATTCTGTAGGTACCAAGGACAATTTTTAAAAAATAGAAAGTTGAATTCAATCATTAGAAATCATTCAAAGGTGGCCAGTAAGGAACGCTTACTTCGTTGAGCAGTATATCCTCATTGTAGAACAAAGTCGCACTCCCTAAGGATAGGTGCACGTTCTTAAGAATTTTTTTTCAGACTGGACTGGCCTTGGCTGGTAATACTGTCCCCCAGCCAAGCAACTGAACTTCTGTAGGAATTGCAAAGTTTCTGTTCAAAAGGGAGAATTATAAATACAAGACTTAATTTTCTAAGTATTCCTATCACTTACTTCCATTAGATATGTGCTTATATAATTCTCCATTACGTACACAAGTACAATGCTGTTATAATAGAAACAGTGATAATAACCTTGCCATGGAGATTCATTCCAATGTACCAGCATAATGTTGCAGATGAGTTCATAGTTCTTTCATCCTCCTTTGTTTCCCAAGTATTTATGGGTACTCGGCTAATTCTAAGACTAAAGACTCATTTATTAAGGCAGTCTGTATACAGAGTGGAGCAAAAGTATGTTTACAGCTGTTCCTATGGAAAACAATACAATAATAAATAAGAATACAAGAATAAACTGTATTTTGCTTACTCACAACTGTAAACATACTTTTGCCTACGCTGTGCGCTGCTGCTGTGGGCAGGAATGTTACACCGGCTCAGCTGGCCTGGACCCAGTCTTCAACTTCTGTCTCGTCACCAGATAGCAAGTCTCTTTCACACAAAGCAGAGGAGAAACTTAAACAACCAAGAGGCCTGTCTGTGTTCTGTATTTCTGTATCTTTAAAAATCACGTCTGGGACTGAGTTACCTAAATTCATTTTGACAGTTGATATAAGCCTAGTAAACCAATGTCAGCGTTTGGGATAAAACAAGATAATGTTAATCTTATCAATGATAAAGTGCATGCATGTGTGTCAGTTGTCATGGTTGGAACCATTCATTCTATCAAGTTTTTTTAAGGCCAAAATTTAACAACAAAATTACCTTGGTAGCATCATGGTCGCTAAACCAACGTTTGATAAACCAAAAGCAGCCTCTCAGCGTCTTCCAGAAAAGGCGCCTGAGAAGGCACAGCTCTTTGGTCACTTTTAAACAAGTGAGATGGTAAAAACTTTAACTTTGGATGCTTTTACTCTTTGAAATCAAGAAGTCTTGTTTCTAGTAAACCGAAGAATTATAAGCCACCCATGACACATAGGCCTTATATGTCCAACGCAGTCATAGGGGAGGGAAAAAAACAGGTTTTCACCCAGAGAAAAAATCGCTGCCCTAACATGCTCAGCCTCCCGCGCCGGCCCCTCCCACCCGGAGCCCCCCGCAGCAGGGGCCTCTGACCTCGCCCCCCCTCCCCCCCTGGGCCTAGTCTCTCCGTACTGCAGTTCAGCCAGTCTCCCGATGCCCTGGGTATTGGCGGTGAGGGGGAATTGGTTCGTCCCCAGTACGGCAAGTGCGCTTACCACATTTTCTAGGCTGCCTTATCTCTGGTTCCTTATCAGAGCGGCCACCAGCGGGGACACATTGGTTCACAGTGCACCAGAGCCTCTCGCGGCCCTTCAATTTTTTAACCGCCCTGGATTTGGGAGCAGGGACCCCCACCCGCACCTTGTCGTTCACCAGGTCGATGTTAGCCCATCCACATGCTTAGGGAACCCATGTTGCCTGTTAGCCATACCTTCCGTTCAGTTCCATGCTATCTGTTCATTCAGTCGGTCCCTTAGGGGTTTTTTCCCCCCCCAAAAATAAGGACACCAGAGGATTCTACAAAATCTTAAATAAAATTTTTAGAAAAAGAATTAATGTTTCCGTGCATTCACCAGATCAGCAGTGATTTCTGACCAGGGAAAGCCAAGTAAACAGGCAGCTGTGACGCAGGACCTCAGCCTGCGGACTTGGTCCGGTCCTGCGCTGCCACTGACTTGTGTGTCTGTGCTGTTCCCATCCTGGGAGGGAGATAACACAATCATTAAATACTGTGTAATGTTACATAAAAAACACGGTATAAATGTTGGTAAAACAAATACCCGGCCAGTCTAACTACCTGACCCAAGGAGCCTCATCTGAGCTGAAAAACCAACTCCGCCGTGAGCACAAAGGTACCTTCTCGTCTGCGATTCTGACTGACGAGAGCCTGCCGGGTCGGGGGACTCAGAGCCTGCGTGTGGGGTTTTACCGGTGTGGAGAAGTTGCATTATGACTCTCATGAGATTGACTGCCTTTTCTTTTTCCTCCAAAAATCAGGAGGTGACATGTCTCCAAAAGAGCACCAAGAGCTAAAATCCTACGTGAACCACCTGTACGTCATTGACAGCCAGCAGGCCCTGTTCGAGCTCTCACACAGGATCGAGCCCCGGGTGTGACCCCCTTGCCGCCCCACTGCCCCCGCCACCCCTGAGCAACTGCAGCACGTTGAGCTCCGGGGATGCCAGTGCCCAGCACGCCCCTTTCCTGTGGGACACGAAGCTGCTGAGTTTTATCAGTAAATCACGAGACGCACACAGGAAAGCCAACCAAAGCGTGCTCAGGAAGTGACGTCAGCTGCCAGGGGTGCGGAGAGGCCTCTCCTCACTGCGCTCAGAACAAGAAGACAAAGAGAGTCAGCGTTCTGGAAATGGAGAAGCCTGGTTTTTGACGCTGACATTGTTGATGCCACCCACCCAGTTTTCAGTTTGAGATGTGCCACCGTCAAGACCAGAGAGCAGGTCTTCTTACACAGTGACCAAATATTTCAGTAAGAGGGTGCGTGAATCAGGAAGCGATTCTACTTTGCCTGGTGGCAGATCGTTGTTTATAGGTTGTCAAAGAGGTAGCTTGTTTGAAGTGATGGCATCACCAGATTTCCAGGGAGAAGGCGCGGTCTCTTTTGATACAAACTGTGACATCACCAAAGGCCACTTGTGTCCAGGGAGTTAGTGAGGACCCACAGCTGCCATCCATGCTCTGCCTTCCTGGAGGGGAATGCCAGGCATGCATTTCTTTGCACCCACAATCACTTTCGATGTTGGCTCGCCGGTGAAATTCGTTTCTGCACAACTCATCTGCAGCTATGGGCAAGTTAAGCTAAGTCACTTTGCCGATAAGGAACAAAATAGGAACCTTTAGGAAATTGACTCATAGTTTAATTTCTGAGGATTTTCTTTACATGTGCAAGCAGGCTGTCATGTCCTGCTGGGAGCAACGTGATTTCTGAAAGAGCACAGTGCCTGACACATCGTAGGCGCTCCAGAACTGTCGATCAAGGTGACAGGGTGACAAAGATCTGCACTCCCGTGCCTGGCGATGCCCTGGTGTCCTGCTCGCCCCCATAGGCTCCCTGCCCACCGTGCGCAGTGATCACAGCCTGTCCTGGAGGGCGAGGGGGTGGGAAGCGCAGAGCACTCAGCAGCCCCTGGGGAAGAGCAGGGTAGTAAGACAGTGGCGATTGCCCGTCTTACAGCAGGTGAGAGGGGCCCCGAGACATCCAGATGCCTGATTTTCGGTGGACACTTACACATCCTGTTGTTCACCTTCCAACTAAGGCGGCAGCCTTCCTGTTATTTGTCCCTTTTTTTTTATGCCCATTTTTATAGAGTAGGGCTCCTCCAGTAGATAAGACTCTTCACTATTCTCACAACTGGTTAGAGCTCCCTCAGCCTTCAGATGACCAAGACAGCCTATTGGATACAGTAATGGAATCCACCCCTGCCAGCTAGATGCTTGTCACATGGCTAAAACACATCTGGGAGCCCTGGGGCACTTCCCACGCTCCCGCCGGTTCTTCTCGTCGGAGCCTGCGCAGAACTGCTTCCTGGGTCTCATGGGCACCTCGCTCCTGAGCTGTGCCTGACACTTCCTGGCACCTTGATGGCAATGCTGTTGACGGGGCTCAGGAACCACACTGCACTTGGTAGATGGCTAGAGGCAGCACAGGGAGATGATTTTTTGGTAGAACTTTCAAGAAGATTCAGTCTCTCCCAGCCTATAAAACTCCAGTCCTGAAAAGGCAATAGAATCTACATCCTAAATCTAATCCTAAAGCTAGGATTCTATACAAAGGCACCACCCAGGGCTGGCCCACACAGGGAAATACTCGAGGCTGCTGGGGATGGAAGGAGACCCGCTGAAGGAGAGCAGAGCCTTGGAAACAGGGAGACAGACTTCTCTCATAGCTGATCAAGCGCTGGAAAAGGTCTGGCAGTTTCTGAAGATAGCGTGTGCTTACCCCCCACACAGGTGTGCTGGTCTGTCCTCTACACTGGGACATGGCATTGGCCCAGTCAAATCATGTAAGGTCCTTTTGACATTGTCTCCATGTTTTGCAGTTTAAATTTTTTTCACATGAAATCTGCATTGCTCCAACTAAAACTATTTCAGTTGCTCTAGCAGAGAACTCTTTCAGCATGGCACCTGTTGTTTAGAACCCAATGCACATAGGTACACAGCCAAAGGAATTCACACGTCCATCAAGGTTCGACACATCCTGATGGGGCAGGCAGAGCTTGCCTCACAGCATAGGTGGGAACAGCTTGGGGGAGAGTGAGGTGCTTGTCCACAGTTTCCTCCCCACCCTGCAGCCAGGTGGCTCTCAGGCCAGCCAAGGCAAGGGCGGGGGGGGGGGGGGAGGTTGTTCAGTTTAGATTTGCTCTTCCATCCCCATCTTCTGAATGTCAGACTCTCCGAATCTTTGCAAGATTTAACAGCTGTCTCCAGAGATTTCCCAGGCAGCGGCTCTCAGAAATTTCAGAAGCTCCACGAAGATGTAAATCTGGAATTAAAGAATTCAGGGCAGAACTGTGGGAGCCAGGATTACTCAACATGAAGCTCGTTCTAACAAATCTGAGCTGTCCAACCATGAACAGGCCAATGCGGGACTCAGCGGCTCCCTGTTTATAGGAGCGGGCCGTGTTCCCTCTCCAAATATGTGCCACAGCCTCTTCGGAGTAGGTTTTGTTCTTAGAAGGCCAGCCTGGAAGACGTCCACGCTGCTTCTCAGTTCTCTCAGATGTTTATTACTGCGTGAGATCTCCGTTCCTGCTGAAAATTGTAATCTGCTGTCTTCACCAGCGAGGGGCGCACAGGCACTTCTCAGCAGTTCTTTTTGCTACAGCACAACTTCTGACAGTCCCGCGGGTCTGTGGGTTTGTCAGCCTCCCAGCGAGCCATCCCTGCTTAAAAGTTAGCCCCAGACAAGTTCATGCAGGCAAAATCGCAACCTTTCTGAATTTTTTTTTTCATACATGCAGATGCTCCAAAGACTACAGTCTTTCAAATTCACTCTTTGATATAATCTGCACAGTTGCCAAGATAAATATTATGGACTGCATTTACTTTATTCTAGTATCATTAATTATGTTTCGAAGAAATTCATTTTCCCAGACCCCTATCCACAGGCCAGGGGAGCGTGTCAGGTGGGGTGGACAGTAAAAACTGTCCACAAATCAGGTAGGGCGGACTGTAAAAACCCACCCTCCCAGTTGCAGGGAAAGGCGTTGCCCTACAAGGCATACCCCCCTCCCAGCGAGAGAAATGGTTACAGGGGGGAGAGGGTACCGGTGACATCAGATCCCCAGAGCAGGCTTGCCCTGCTGACCCAGTCCCAGCTCCCCCAGCACCCCCCCCCCCCCAACCTTGTTACAGCATCTCATATGCAAGTTCCAAACTTAGTGACCTTCAATGGCACAACTAATCCAAGCTTCCCAGAAACTAGGCACAAACATTACCACGGGGTGATCAGGTGCACTGCAGTTGTCTAACATGGAGTTTCTTTTAAATGCTTCGAACACGTCCTTAAAATTTCAGCCTGCTTAGTAATGAGTGGGCCATTGTGCTGAAAGCTAGTAGGGAGGAAATGTTTTTAAAAATTGCCAAAAAATTAGATGAAAATATACTACTGTAAAAAGCAAAGCTGTATATATACTAAACGTTTTTTAGCAGAATACTATTTATTTGCATAGCCTATTTATTGTATTCATATGACACTGTTATGAAATCCTGGGATGACATCGAGGACCTGAAGCAAGGACTCCTGCCTTTTCATGTATCACTGAGTACGACCGCTGCAGCATTGTCAGCTCGCGTTAACAGTTAGAAGACAGCAAGCCCGCGATCAGGGTGTCTGCCTAACTTCTCAGGGACTACATTTCGTAGTTTTCCACCATTGTAAGAGCTGGTAAATATGAAACATTGGTTGAATTACCAGAATTGCCATTAACAGTATTTTCTTTCTAAGACTTCATGCTTTCTGCTTCTGTACATATGACTGTGCTGTGTATTTATCGAAGCTAGTAAGCAATAATTTATATGTACAAAAGGCCAGGCAATATAAGGTGAAAACTTATATCAGTCACGGTTACCTTTCCTTGTATTTTCAAGTGTTTTTTTTTAAACTGCTTTTCCAAATATAAGATTATGTTAAAGATACCATTCGTGCCCCGTGGCTTCTTGCTCCATCTGCGGTGGGTGTGGAACTCGGAAATCGCTTGCTTGCCAAGAGCTACAGGTAAGCGAGCCAGTCCCAGGCAGCCCAGAGGCCACCAAACCAGAGGTTGCCGCCGAGTTATCACAGAACTGAAACACCCTGTGTTGGAAATCACACCCATTTGCTCATGTTCTAGGATCTGGAGAATTCAACCACCCCTGTCATTGCCTCGTGCCACCGGAGTAGGACCAGGTACCAAAGGGAGCTCTAAGCCTTGGTGGCGATGGCCTGGCCTAGAATAGCAGCCCCAACACACGAGGCCTGAGGGCAGGAGGAGGGGGCAAAGGGACATCCAGGTGGATGAGCACTGATAGACTGTCCCTTCGGAGTCCCCGCTGCACCTCCCTACAGAAGACGACACATCCTGCGCTCTGATGTCAGGCTTGGCCTGTGGCTCGGGGTGGTCCCTCCTCCCACAGAGTGACATGTCTCACCATGTTGAACTCAGGAGTGGCCAAATGACTTGCTCTGTCCAATGAAAAAAGGGAAGAAGAGACCCATGTGGCGTGTAACTGGAAGCTTTAGGAGGCAGCCCGCGCCAGCCGAGTCCCTGCTGTGAGACCCGGGAGTCGGGGTAACGGCGGCTGTGTGCACCTGGGTCTCCAGCTTGTGAAGGACGGGAACCTGGGTGAGGGTCTGGGGAACCTGAGTAAGGATCTGGAGCAGTGCAGGCCGGTAAGGGAGAGCGGAAGCCCTCGGCTGCACGCCAGAGGGGGATGGAGAAGGAGGGACGTTCCCGTTGCCCAGGACGCTGGGGACTCTTCACTGAAACAGTCTGTGCCATGGGGGTGAGGGCTCCTGCCACCTCAGAATCTGGTTCTTGTTCAAACTTGCAGACCCCGAAATGCGTTTGCGCTGGTCTTGGTGCACGAGCCACAAAATCGTACCTCAGGGACAGGGATCCCTGTCTGGTGGAGTTCTTCTTCAGGGTCTTCTGGATTCCTCAAGGTCTTCTCTTCTCTGCTTTAAACAAAAAAGGCCCCTAAAGCTTTAGGCATGCTCATCTCGAGTCAAGTACTTCTGGCCCTTGCGCAATTCTCTTACCCGACAGAGAGGCAGCCATCTCACAGGACGCAGCGCATGAGCAGGGCGTACACACCCGCAGACACCCAGGACTCTGACCACAGGGCTCCTGCCTCCACTGGGCTCCTGGGGACGGGAGTCAAGACCCCAGCTCCAGCCACACGCAGAGCTGGTCAAGTCGCAGCTCTTGATTCTGTGTTTGATGTGGGCTGGGAGTTTGCTCAGGAGGACCCAGGCCTCCGCCGCACCCTGCTGGCCTTCTAATCATGCTCCTCTCCCTCGGGCTGGGCGAGGGTCCCCTGGGCCAGCTTTCAGGGCACTTCTGCCGTGAGATCACGTCAGTCCTCACCACAGGCATGTGCCGCCACCTACTGAGTCCACGTTTCCCTCCGCCTTTGTCCCTACAGGTGACAGAGCTTCCCGACCCTCCTTGTACAGGCTTTGCACTCCAGGGGGCGGTGGGGGCTATTCCAAACCTTTCCCCGCGGCCTAACCACACCACCTCCCATTTATTTTCTGCCATAACCACACCGTGGTGTGGATCTCCTCACAGGGCCACTGACAAAGACGCAGCCCCCCACTTTGGAGCGCCGCCCCCTCGTATCTGTCATGCCCCAGCTTTCCACACCGAAGTCGGGGACAGGGACCAGGCAGCGCTGACTGGGCTTCTCTTGTCCAGGAAGACCCCCAGGCTGCCCGGAGTGGAGCCCCGTGGGCAGAGATGGTGCCTGGGAAGCGGCACGGAGCCCCCCCTCTTCTGCGCCCCCTTTTCTGCTCACAGACGGTGGGAGGTCCCCAAGTTGTCCATGTGTGGTTGGAGGCTGTAATTTCTCGTAGAACTTGAGTGAAAATAACCGCATTCTGAGAACAATCCTTGCAGTAGACTAGTTCTTGAGTCCTGACCAAAACAAACAAACAAACAAACAAACAAATCCGCAGAGAGCAATGAGCTCTCTGAGACACTTGGGACGATGGCAAGGTCTTTCCCGAATTCTGCGGCCACAGTGGCTCTCCGGCATCTCAGGACTCAGAAGGCCCTTCCTCCAGGAGAGTCTCAGACGGTGGGGAAGGCAGCACTGGCCAAAGCTGGCCCAGGGAACTACCATCACGCCCAGCCGGACACCCCGGGGTCACCGAGTTCGCTACCTGCTGCTGCTCCTTTGTCCACCCCCAGCAGGAGTTCACACCCTGCTGCCCTTCTTCCACTGCAGGAACCTCCTGCCTACTCTCTCCCCCATCCCCGCCCCCCCCCCCAGTCTAAATTCCCCTCATATACTCTCCAAACCACTCTCAGAAACGTTTTTTCCCCTAAAACACAGGTCTGATGCTGTTTTCCCACCTCAGAATCCTTCACCAGCGCCTCCCAGGCTGCAGCTTTCAATCCGCCTCAGCTGCGCGCACGGCCTTCACAGTCTGGCCTCTGCTTATCTCATCAGGGACAAAGAGCCGCCTCCGGGACCCCTACCGAGTCGTCCCGCTTCAAACTGATATTCTGCATGTGAGGATTAATTGATGCTTACTAATGAAAATGCCTGAAGCAGGCACCAAACATTTACTAGATAAATAATGTGAGGTTTATTTGCTACCTGCAAGGTGTGAAACCTTGAAGCCAAACTGATAAGGATACACAGACGGCGGGGCGAGGGGGAGAGGGTCCCTAACCCGCGGCGCCCAGGCCTCCAGCATGGCCTGCCGGACCGTGGACTTCCCACCAGGGACGGGCAGAGAGGCCTGAAGCCAGCGAGCCACCTGGCCATGGGTGAGGGCTGCGCGGGAGACCTGCGGTCCCTGCGGCCCCCGGCCGTTGAGAAAGCTGGTGCAGACCGGCGATGGCTAGAGCTAACGTTTTTGTTTTGTTTAAGGAAGTGACTTGGCTGCCCCGGGACACAGGAACTGTTCGCGCTCCTTTGTGTTCCGCTGACCTGGGCTGGGCCGCGAGCTGGAAGGGAAAGGCGAGGGAGGAAGCGGAAGGAGCGCCGCGCCCCTTCCCTGTCCTGTGCCCGGTGCTGACTCCACAGTTCTACCCGGGACGCGTGCCTGCAGTGAACAGCCCGAGAAAGGCCGTGGCACCGCGGCGGGGCCTGGACCCCCGGCCGCTGCTGCCCAGGGTCAGCAGGGGGCACGGTCCCCGCGCCGGCCGCGCCGTGTGGCTGCAGTCCCAGCTGCTGCCACGCCTCCTTCCCAGGCTCACTGCCTGGGCCCAGCTCTCCCGTCGGCTGGCCCGCCGGCCGGCCTGCCTCTTCGCTGCCCCCGGATGCAGTGCGCACAGGACCCCTTTTCTCCCTCCCACGCAGAGCTTACCCGCTCCCAGGCCCTGCTGGGTGACCCCGCACTGAACCCCTCCTCCCTTCCTGAATCCCTGCAGCAGGCCCCGCCAGTGGCTCTTGGGGGAGCCGCCCCCCATTGTCTGGCCTCCCTGCCGCTGCGGGTGGGGGGCGGGGGCGGTGAGGAGCGGGGTTAGCAGCACAGGCTGTGCGGCCAGAATGCTCGGTTCAAATCAGGCTCCCGCGTTTGAGTGCTGAAAGGACCGACGGAGGTCTCGCCTTGACCTTAACGTTTGTTTCTGCGTCTCACCAAATGGAGGTTAATATGTCCCATACCTTGAAAGGTTGTATGAGGAATAACATGAGAAAAAGCATGTAAAGTGCTTAGTATCATGCCTGGTACACAGTAGGGCCTCAAGTAACTATTGGAAAAGATGATGATAATAGTGATGATGAAGACGGTGGTTAGTATGGGATACGTACCAGAAGATTTGCACCCACATTTCTACTCCACGGACAGCAAGTTCCTTCTCTAATGCTTAGTTCTCTCAATTGTCAAACAAGACAATTTGCAACACGTGTGCCGCAGGGCGGACATGAGAAGGAAGTGGACCACGCATGTGTGCTGAAATGAAGTGAGACCCAAGCAGCGAGATCTCCTTTCGAAGCCCCGCTGCCCTTGCGCAACATAGGGACGAAGCATCCGCTCCCTGAACGGCTGCTGATTGATCTGGACAAAGATGGCTGCACAGAGCCTCCAAAGTTGGGGCAATCCTTGCGTTAACATTCACATTGGCATTACGTGTTAATAACACAGGGAGAGAAAAACACTGATCTGCCCCTGGGCCTGTTTGCATCCGATCGGGGCTACGGGCTTCGGGGTACGACCTCTCTGAGGACTCAGTGCAGCTCCCAGGAGGGCCGGTCCTTGGCCGCTCCCTGCCCCTCTTGTCTGGACCACAGACCCCAGACTCTCAAGCAGCAGCTCCGCCTCCCAAGCTTTGGGCCTCCTGCTGGCAACACAGAAGCATCACAGTGTCTGACCTGAGACTCAGATGGACACAAGCGCATGGTTCTGTAGCCCGTCCTCTGCAGTGGGGAAATTTCCCTTGGTTTCATTCAGAGTCCGTTGGTGCAAAACTTAAGAGCTGCGCCTGCACTCTGAGCCCTGGGTTGAGATGAAGTCCCCTTCCTATGGCAGGAAAGCCGGGGAGCCAAAAGCAGGACGGCTCCCCCTGGGCCTGGGGTCACACTGGCCTAGGGTTTTTCTTCTTTAAATCACCAATAACTAACTGTCTCTCTGCCCGCACCCCTCTCTCTCTTTTACTCTCTCTCTCTCTCCTCCCATCCTGTCTTTGGCTCCCTCTCCCTGTTTTTCTTAGAAGCCAACATTAATCTGCAAGAGATTTCATCAAGTCCATCTAATATACAGGGTCTGGCAGGAGGAACACTGGCTTGAGTGTGGTTGGTAGGGTAATAATACGGGTGTAATCATTTATAGGTACAATGTGAACATTTCACCTTAAATGCCATATGGTGTGCTTGGCATGATATTGTTATGTTAGAGAATTACATGCTTACGATTTTGTAATGAAAGATTTTATACTA